CCTAGCTCCCATTAATCTAAGCAAAACTTTGATTAGACAAGCTTATCAGAGCTGATGCTTTTGATTATATATGGGATAGACTAGAGCAACCACAACAGGCCTCAGTCCTTCACCTACACTAATCTGCAGAGGAACCTAATCATAGGATGTTGAAGCTATCTTCTTATTTTTTCAGCATCTTTGCCATAACCCTAGAGAACACCAGGAAGCCATGCAGCGCTTTACTACTATATAGTAATGGGAAGATGAGTCCCTTATTGCCTTTCTCACCTGCTTTAAACACCTTATGTATGAGGCTGGAGCAACTACATAGCCAGATAGTTCAGGCCTATCAACCCTGCACAGAGGGCTTTGCCCCTCCCTCTGCCAGACCCTGGAAGACACTAATGACGACCTCTTTACCCTCTTATATAATGAATATGTCAAGCTTGTCCAGCTTATTGACTAATACACCTGTCGCACCCAGCCTGCTAAGAATCCTGCCTTGAAACCTGCGCCCACCCAGACCCATCACACCAACCTAATGGACACAGACCCAGTTCGGATCTCTTATGTCTGTTATGTTAAACCTGTCCTGCACACACCATCTACACCATCTGTTTAATCATCTGCTTCTAAACGCCATTCTTACCAATTAGAACATGACCTCTGCCTATACTGTGGTTCTGATGATCATTAGATTAAAGAGTGTGACTAATGTTCCTGCTCTGCTAGCTCCTAGCCTAGCTCACCTATACCTGCCCCTGCTAAGCCCCGTACTAAGACAACAGCCAGAAGTTCTACTATGGACGACCTCTTTAGTTAACAGCCCCCGGAGGTGGCCTTAAAGGAGGGGGGTATTATCATGGGCTGCCCCCATGACACACACCGCATTATGTATGTGGCTATGGTCACATGGTTCCCTGTTAGTCCATTGCTGTGTCATCTTAGCATGATGACAGCCTGTACCTAGTTTTCTTCCTTCTTTAGCAATTCCACTCCATAACTTCGTGGCCTATTGGGACGGTTAGAGTAAAGCCTCGGACTGAGATATTCTAGCCTGTGACATTACTAATATAGTAGTACTTAATACCTGGGAGAACTACCACCCCTAAGAGGGAGGAGAGGGATAGTATAGTAGGCAAGGCCTGCTAGGTGCTTAGGCTATTTAGCCCTTATAAAGTTATATCTAGACTAGATACTAGCTATAGGTTATATAACTTTATACTAATTAATATAGTAATCTATTTTATTATATGACTTATAAACTACTTATATACTTCTTTTTATGTTTAGCTGCTGTAGCCCTAGCTAGATTTCTCCTTTAGTGATTTCTTACTGTCTAAACCTAGGTTATAGGTTTCCAAGGCTTCTAGCCCGTGACATGATATCTATAAATATAAGTGCACTAACTCTGTTTTATCTACAGAAGATTACACTAACTTTCTTATAGCTAGTCTTGCAGCTAGTTCTACCCTTCTTATAGCTAGTTCTATATCTACTACTAAGCCTAAGTCTACTGCTAAGTCTACTGCTGTTAGGTGCAGAGAATATATATATAGTAAACTATGAGTAGTCACATGGGTAGTATATAACCCATAGAGATTAGAGATATCATCTCTGCTAAGGTATGGGAGATGCTTACACCTCAGTAATTAGTTTAACTATAAAGGCATTACTACTACCACACTATCTACTATATAATAGAGAGTATTCTATAAGTGCTCTCACAGCTACTAAGTCTATTACTAAGCCTAAGTCCTCCCCTTAGCCTAAGCCCTCTAAACATACCTCTCCTCCTCCCACTAATACTGTAGCTATAATGCAGCCTATATCTGATAAGCTACTAAATTACACTCCTAGGGCCCCCCCAGGCATCTGGGCGGAATAGGGTGCAGGGAGGGCCGTAGCAGGTGTGTAGCAAAAAGTAAATAAATAGGACACTAAACTAAAAAAGGGAATTTGGCGAACAACAGCTGATTATTAAGCGATTATTCAGCATTCGCCACCATTATTTCTTTATGTATATAGATATCCATCTGAGATGAAGTGGTCAGGGGATTCTGCGAGGCGTTACCTAGGATGTGGAACCATTCATATGTTGCTCATCTGTTTCGAATCTCTCTGTATTATGTTGCCTGTCTTTAGTTGAGGGAGCACCACGTGACAGTTCCTTCAGAAATGGACACAATAATATGGAGTTACGCCTCTCACTGATGACTGATTACTATTCACTGCTATCTGTCACTCGGCTTTATGATGATTATTATTCCTGATCAAGCAACTCGCACCGGTTCGGACCGTCAGACTCGCCTGTGAATTGACCTTATTATCCAAGTTTTTATTTACATAAGCTATTCACAAAATGCTGGACCAGGGGCCTCAGATTCCAACAAGATTCTTTTAGCATGGTGTGTATCCAGACCAAACAAATCACTGAGGGCATCAAGCTAATCTGCACGACTGCGTTGATCTGCTATTCTGCCCTTCAACCAGCGTAGCTCGCAATGGCTGGCTCGCCAAAGGTTTTGGGCCTATATGCAAGAACTTCTGCTAATGCGATAAGCAGCAGTCCTTCTGTGCCTAGCAAATCATCTAGGCCAAGCTGGGGTGGTAGCGCACGCCCGCACACCACGTCAAGATCCAGCCGTGACGGATCGCCCGGGCCATCATGGGTTAGCGCATCAACCGCTAATGCCCATGCGAGTGGGTTGTACAAGACACCTTCATGAGTGTAAACCCCTCCTGCAGGCTTGCCGCCGCAGATGGTCTGTAGGTGGTTATTAGATACACCGACGGCCCGGGAGTCTGAAAGGATGGCAGACGCCTGGCTGCCGCTCATAGGCTGCACGATCTCATCGAATGTGGAATAGATGGTGGTTGTGGGAACATATGCAGAGTCCCCTCCGTCGCCTCGCAGAGTTCTGATAAACTCTGTGTTCCACCCCTGCTGCCACAGCGACGGGGTGCAGGCAAGCGCTGCCAGCCACGGGCACACAAGTGACCTCACGACCGTCCCGTGGAAATCAGGACTGATGGCGATGAAATCATCAACCACTTTTCGGGTAGACGGCCAGTACTTCAGGGCCCATTGAGTATCCAGTCCACCTTGGGACCATGAAAGAACCGCGACGTTGGATTCTGAAAGGGCCGAAATATAGTTGATTGCATAAGCGACGTATTCGGAGTTGATCTGAACATCATTCAACGAGGCCTGGGGGATGTTGAGCCAAACCACGTCGGCATCTGCGGCGCTTCCCAACTTGCCGAAGTTGAAGTAATAAGTCGTCCCAGCGGGTGTAGCAGTTCCGGGAACCAGAATCACAGGCTTCTTCCCGTTCTTACCATAGCCGAACGAGGCGGGGATATGAATCGCTGCCCGCAGTGCATTTTCTGCGACTGAGTAACGGGCATCTCCTGGAGCTTTGATCGGGTAAATGGCTTGGCCCTTCGGACTGGGGTTCCGGTTGTGAATCGAGTTGAGATCCAAGTTGAGGTAGCCATTCAAGAAAGAGAGAATGTCGGCCGGTATCAATCCCACCGTGAGGATTTTACGCGCCATTTTCAAGAAATCAGGAGTGCCATCTGCAAAGATGGATTGAATCTTGTCGAATGCTTCCTGCACAGACTCAGCGTCCTTGGTCGAGCGACTGTTCTCAGTCTCGTCGATTTTTGACACGATTGAGGAGGCAGTGCTCTGAGCCTCGCTTTTGATTGAAGAATCATTGGCAGCACTAGACAGGATCGAAACAAGACTTGAATCTGAGGCGGCTGGAAGGGCGCCGCGAGGAAGGACTGCACCAGAAACCAAGGGACTAAAGATTGCCCTGTACAGGACGGCTGCCTTCAGCAAGGAACTCCACCTCATCTTGATTCGGCTGCCACTGAGTGGAAATGAGACGGTAGCCAGCTTGATCCAGACATCTCGGAGCGAATGTAGCAGGCAATTTATCTTCCGTTTTCTCCAGAGAAGAAGTATACGAGCTGTCTTCCCCTCTCTGAAATGCCTCGGCCGCCTAATCAAATCTCGAATTTTAGCTTCAATATTGAGACTTCTCTTCTTGATGGTGGCTGATCCTTCGCGGTCTAACAGGTGTGCGTGACCACTCCATTGACCAATTCCATGACCTTACGGGTCGCCGGAAGTGCGTCGGGCCATGCTGAGCAAAAGGGGCCAGGGGAAAGAGGGCCAATGATAGGATCGTCGGCCAGATGAAGTTCCATTGCTCCTTGTCTTCCGCTCAAGCTCGATTGGCCCGAGTGGATCTTCGCGGCGGATCCTGGGCCTCTGTTAGGGCATCAGGACGAAGAATTGTTCCTTTTGTCCCTCACCAAGATACGTTTGAGCAAGCGCAGGATCCCGAATTCAATCTATCACCCTTTGGCTTGGGTCCGTCCACTCCATGAAGAACCCCATATTAATGAATAGCTCAATTCTTCTTCGGAGGACTCGAACGAGGCTTAGATTCACTCACATGTGATCGGCACTCTTAGCTGGGGGAATGCTGGGGTGATGGGGTCTCTTCAGCGCTTGCGGCATTAGCAGTTAGTAGCACTTCCCCACATTTGAGGGGAACCCACCCCGTAATGCTGACAATGCTCACAGCTCACCAGGCAACAATTCTCTAGCCCCTGCTGTAATTGATAGTTAGTTAGTGCTGTATTGATTTGTCAGTACTCAGAACGCAAATAAAGCACGAGCTTCTGGAACAATTGGCAAAGATCAGAGCTGATAACCTAGGTTGATTGTGATCGAACCATACTACGGCGATCTTCAGATTGCTCCGGAGAGTCCAACGACGCATGTAAGCTTAATCTAGCTTGACTGTTGGGATGAAGAGTAGGCAGTAGAATATTCATACATTCTTATGCCGCTTCTAGTGCGTTGTTTGGATGTATCGTCTGCCAGATACGATGGACATTATTGCATTCTGCCCAGCAAACTGGAAGAGCAACCCGAAGGATCATGAATAGGTGGGGACGCGATCAAGGATATAACTCAGAACATATAACAAGGAGAGCTAAGTCCCATCATAGGCAGCAAGATATGCTGAAGGACAGACGATATTTGTCATGCCGACTTGCGTTAAACTGGGTTGCAAGCGTTCGCATATGGCGGAGCTATCATCCTGTCTTCTCCAGCGTGCTGGGATTATGCGCAACCCGATGTCCATGTTGATCGGTGAAGATGACCTTCGAGCGTTAGAATTTGCGTCGTTGACTTTCTGAAAAACAATGTATTAGGGGTAGTGGGGGCGAAATCGCATCGTTCCCGTACCTTGGGAGGATTCGCGACGTTCTCCTCGTCCGCTTCGGCTTGATCCATCACAATTTTTTCAACCTAGAGAAATCCTCTATTAATCATTGATCAAGGAGATAAGTGTAAAGGAATATGAATATCGACGTACCTCTCCTTCATGAGATCCGCCCCGATAGCGGGTATAGACATGGTCACCCTCATTGATATTTTCTCCTTTCTTGTCTTTGACTCGCTCGACCGACATCTTTTTTACTCAATCTCAATCTGATGACTAGAAAATCTGCGTATTGATATGGTTAAGAAATTGCGATGCATCAAAGAACTGGGAATATACAACGAATGCTCCGCTTCTGTAATTCTGATGTCATCGCAAATACACCCATGGACACCTTCTCACATCCTCCTCCTTGTGGAGTGTCAACAAGACAGACGAAGAGATCTGTGTATGGCTTCACTTGAAGTTCAACACCTATCCAGCAATTGTCGACAGCTACCCAGGTCTTCAGAGGGCTATGAAGGACGGACTGCCTCAGACACGGCTACTTCACTAGAGTAGGAAGGCGAGAGTAGCACCTCCAGTTGAAGATTCTGTTGCTGAATAATGCCGATGTAGAAGAAGACTTGGAGATTGTAATAGCAGTCACGATTATCTGATGCTCGAGATCAGTCAGGTCATTGATCTGACCGACGGCGTGGCCAAGACTAAAGTAGACATAATCGGCATCAAAAGGCAGCCTCAGGACTCTGGATAATACGTGATTCCATTGGATGATTATTGTTCTTAGAGCATGTCATACTAGGTATATACACTAGTGCAACCATAGGCTAAATGAGAGGTCCATCAGATCAGATCAAAATCACTGATGTTTTAGTGTCTCACAATGTTGCACTCAAGGTCAGGGCCCATACATGGCATACAGTTGCAACTGAAACTAAATATAGCACATATAGCATGGTAAATGCGCACGTGCTGGTTTCTGAATGAGGTATTGTCCTTAGCTGAGCAATTATTGCCCGTCTTGCTGGTCGTCATCTGTTCTTGTTTCAGGATATGCGAGTACGTGAAGTGATCAATGTCTGTCTATTATCTAGAGGGAGTCGGCCCGGTCAAACTACGCCTGATGGTCCCTAAATTTGCGCCGTATATTGTTCTCTGGAGTACATTTGACCTGTTGGGCAAGTATCCTCCTGCACTGTTGTAGATATCTCTCCAAGGACATTGAGACCCCATAGTAATCCAAGTCTCTATGAGAAATGTTTGTCCCCACATTGACCTTCGTTTAAGAAGGTTGAATCTCAGTGCCGCATCCACGCTGATTGGCAATGTTGGATATCTCCAGACTGCAGCTTACGGGCCTTACCCCGGTCCACGTGGTGAGATGTCACACTAGGCAAATTAGTATTCAGTAGTGTGTGATTATTACAAGATCCGGAAGAGGTCTGAATCCTTCGAGAAAAGGCTCGATGAAAACAACCAAAGTACTCGAGATCAGAATGTAAGTAGCCAGAAATGGTGGTGCTTAGCATTGGAGAGGTCAATACCTTTCGCGTTGGAGATTTCAAGTTTTCGAGGATTCTTCACTTACTGTCTACGCAATCAACCTACGGGGCGTACCGTGTGGCGACAAGGAGTGTTGTACAAGCCGTCTTAACTTGATAAGGTGCGGATGTTTCAAACAATTTGGATCATTACTTGATAAGTCGATAATCTTGCGTACCCAGATTGTCAAGTGTTCCTAGCCTTCGGCAATGACAACATGTAGTACAAACGACACTACAACACATTGAGACAGTCTCCTTGATCGGGAGGTGAGAGTATATCGGTAAGCGAGCAGTATTTACTTACCTATGTGATCAAGTAGTATATGTGGATACGGAACATGTCGAACCATACCTTCACAGTGACACTACCTGCATAACCTATCTACGTGCCTTGGCAGAGTACGTCGCTTGGAATGTAGGGTCATACTAGTTGTGAGATCCTCCAAATCAAGAATATTCATTGAAGCATAGTAATGCGCATAGAGGACACTGAAGGAGAACCTAACAACAGAGTATCATTTATATAGTATTATGATGACCAAATAGAATTAGGCTGAAGATCCTGACACGATTCATAGTCATCGCTATGCAGTTTGGGTCGATGGAGCTCCCAGTGTAACAGTTTCGGCGTTTGTGATTAGAGACTGCCGACTACCACCGTTGCACCATCAAGTGTCACACATACCACAATATGCGGACCTACTGACCAGCCCCATTAAGAAGCCTGTCAAGAAGCCACCATGAGGAATGCTCCCGAGCAAATATGTATGTCTCTCCCTGCTCGCAGAAAACACAGCGGATTTCTCTCTTATATATTCAATTGTTTTCTGCAGACGGTTGGGAGATCTAAGCAGTGAAATGGAAGATGGTGACACGGTACTGAAACGGTAATGACAGAACCGAAACACCTGGTGCACTGGTTACGTATGGAGCCTCGAGAATGTAACTCTGATGGCGATCACCACGTCGGCCTACAACCACTTAGGTACCTTTAGGTTCACCACTATTTATTTAGCATCTACTACCGATCTGAGTGGACATGATGCAGAACTCTACTCATCGTAGCGCATTGTACGTATAGACTACCATGATCAGGAAGATAGGTAGTACTTATTAGTGAACCTGTAGTAGCATGTCCTTACTTATAGAGTAACTTAGTTCTATTTATGTTTAGGTCATGCAGACAAAGTCAACCTTCTGAAGACGCTTTAGAAAATTAATATTGGGCATATTGGAGCCAAGAGATCGGCCACGCTACTAACTAGGTGATATCCTTGTAGTACTCCGTACCTTGACGGACTGCTAGTTAAACACCACTAAGTCCTTCATCGACTTGTCGTCAAGGTTTATGATAATCAACAGTAGTTTCCTCCGTGCCCCTGGAAGGATTTGGATCATCTGGTTGATCGTCTCTCTCGAATCCAGTTATTTTATTACTGCCCAGGATAGGTAAGTAGTAAGGTAGCAGATGATGGAAAGTAATTACGATACAATACTACCATACCTGACGGACTGAGGGCTCAAATGGGCACTGTTATGTTGCACTCTCCCAAACAGAACCATAATCTGGTAGTATCTAACACAGTATTCGCCATCCCATTATTTTTGCTTTCCCTACTTCCGTTTTCCCTTCTTTTTTTAAAGTTTACATTACTTCTTTTTGGGTTCATGATCAAGATCATCTTTCTTCAAACGTCTTCTCTTGCCTCGCTTCCTCCTTGCAGTTGTTATCGTTGCTTCAAGTAGTTCCCTTTACTCCTCCTCTCCCCCTTGTGACAATCTCTTCTGGAATGGACACGCGTTGATCCATGCTCCAACCATCTATAGTCCCCGTCACCCTCCATTGACTACGACTGACGACTGTTACAATAATATAATAATAATACTACTCTACACTCACAACTGACCCTGACCTGAAACTAATCTTGACTGCTACGACCTCTACAACAACCATCTCACCCACCACCACCACCTTCAACTTGGCGTCCTTCGTGCAACTACAGCATTGAACCTTTCTTTTTTTCCCCATCTGGCACCGTTCTGTGGAGAGTCCCGTCCACGTCTGTTGATTCGATTGCTTGTATTCTTCCCTTGCTTGGGCATATTCTACGTATCTTCCTCTTGGTCTACCTTCCTCTCCATCTTACCTCGCCGCTCGACACCTGCAAGGAAAAAAGGTGGCTCCACATTGCCAGTCGAACAAGGACCTAACTTGACACTTTCATTGGTGTCACCTTCGTTCTTCATACATGCTACTGGGCTCCATTGACAGAAAGGGACCTGGTCTTAATTGGCACCGTTCACTTTATCGTGGACGCACTCGTTCTGAAGCTGAGCTGTCAATTTTCTAACCACCATCAGCCTCGGTGGGGCCTCTATTATTTACTCCTCTGCTCACCCCATACTTTGCCCGAATTTTCAGATGCATCGTTGTATAAATCGGTGTCAGCCTCGTCTTGTCTTCCACTATTAAACATCGTCCCATCTGTTGTCCGTCTGCAGACTTGGCTGTACGTATTGTCGCTTTTCTTGGCCTCTTTAGGTAAACTGCTAGCGTACCATCGTTGCCGCTTCAGCCATGACAGCTCCTCTAGTCAAAGTCCTGCACAGGATGCAGGAGCTCTTCTCCAACATTGTCGCTGCATTAGAGGCAATGATCTTGTTCCCTTCATTATTCCGGGATCCCTCGCGTAAGCGGCGGAAGGCTTTCCATGGCGCCTACTGGCGACGTCGGACGCTCGACAATTTTGCCGAGGAAGTCGACCGCCTCTTCACTGCGCCATTGTCTTTGCGCAATATGATTATCATGTCAGAAAAGATCCGAGAACAATTCAAGTCGTGCCTACAGTCCAGCCCCGTGTGCATGTTGCCATCGTACAACCATGCACTGCCGTCAGGAACTGAGAAAGGGACGTATCTGGCTTTGGATGTTGGGGGATCGACATTCCGAGTCGCCTTGATTGAATTAGGAGGCGCAGGAGCAATGAAGATTCTTCAAGAGTCATCATCTCCAATCGACAACGATGTGAAGCTGTTGGAAGGGACCTTGTTCTTCGATTGGATGGCCGAGAAGATTGAGTCAATGCTAAGTGCGGTGGGTGCTGACTATGGTCGGGAAGCCGTGCCTCTCTCAATGGGATTATCATGGTCTTTTCCGATTGAGCAGACATCCATCAGCAGTGGCCTGGTGATTCACATGGGAAAAGGGTTCTTGTGTTCCAACGGTACCCTTGGTCAGGAGTTGGGGGATCTGATCGTCCAATCATGCCGGAGACGGAGCCTCAACGTACGAGTCGACGCAATAGTGAATGACAGTTCCGCAGCGCTTCTTTCGCGAGCGTACGTCGACCCTAAAACACGCATGTCTCTAATCCTCGGAACTGGAACCAATGTTGCGGTCCATTTTCCTGTGCACGAGATAGGGTTGACCAAGTTTGGCACTAGACCCCCAGGCTGGTTTGATTATGCCAAGCATGTAATTATCAACAGTGAGCTGAGCATGTTTGGTGGTGGAATTTTGCCCATGACCCGATGGGATGACATCCTCAACCGGACTCACTTACGGCCGGATTACCAGCCATTGGAGTACATGGTTACTGGACGCTACCTGGGTGAAATTGTCCGACTCATCATCGCAGAGGCCGTCGAAACTGCGAACTTGTTTGGAGGCGAGCTTCCTCATTCCATGCGAGACCCTTACTCCTTCGATACTAGCATTGTTGCATTCCTCGAAGCAGACACGTCACCATCACTGGTTCCATCAGCAGCTCTCCTCCAGAAAGAGCATACGTTCCCAGTGTCTCCATCCGTCGAAGACCTGCGCTTCTTGCGACGAATTTGTCAGATCGTATCGAAGCGCGCGGCGGGTTATCTGGCAACCGCGATCCACAGTATGTGGTGCCTACGCAATGACGCAGAATTCTCCGATCCGACAGAATCAAAAGCATCCTCTGTCAAGGATACTCAGGAAATCACGATTGTAGAGAGTGAGGAAGACTCTCGGAGTTTGTCCATCGCATGTGATGGTAGTGTCATCAACAAATATCCCGGCTTCAGAGATCGCTCCCAGGAGTACCTCAACCAGCTCACCCAGCAAACTAATTCGTCACAGGGGTCACTAGATCCTGCTACGAGTCCTTATATTCGCCTTGAACTAGCGCCAGAGAGTGCTATCTTGGGGGCTGCAGTTGCAGTTGCCGTGGCTGTGGCGGATCAGAAGTAAGAATAAAGAATTCTCACTCTTGTGGAGACCAACACTTGATGTTGTTGTGTTCACACCCTACCTGCGAGGCGTGTCTTTCATGATCTTGATCTCTTTTCCATTGCCTTTCAACTTGCATTAACGGTGTTGTTCGTATGGTCTACTGTTATCGTTATCCACAGCTTATCTCTAGCCCATCGTTTCCATATCACGAGACTCTCTTTTATTGCGATTCTGCGATTTGGTTGCTATTGCATATAAGGCTCGAAGAGACGGATGAAGCAGGGGTCTCTAGGCGTCCGGTATAGAGGGTTCGAACTGGCGGTTTGTGGTTTAGACTTTCGATGTACATAATGATAGCCACAGATCAAAAGCATCGGGTCTTTCCAAAGTCGACTGATCGCTGTTCACTGTGTTTGGCCCAAAGATAACGTACGAGGAGGGTTGGACTGCTGCCGAACGACGTTCACTCGGCCCTCTGACGCTTCTGAACGGCAGAACATAGCCACAGGGTAGAGCCAACAACCGAGTAATGGTGCATCGCACGGGTCAGGTTGTCATGACTGTGAAGTGGCAGGCCATCAATCTGGACGAACGTCGAGCGAAGGCATTCTTTGATGGAACAATGCGACAACTTGCGCGGACAAGAGACTCATTCCTTGCAGAGGTCTTGCAGCAACTCCAGCATTCGACGCTGGAGCACGGACAATTCGTCCCTCGAGAGCAAGGCCTGGTGTTGACTGGCCGAGTCAGTGGATTGAGGGCGTCTGGAAATTCCATGTTGGGGAGCTTTGGGGGCGTCAGAGATCAGGCTTTCCTTGATGGTGAAGAAAGGAATCCCCAGACGTCGAAGCTCGAATGTCATCGCTTCCGCCATCTGTTTGGAAGCTCTGTAGACCTTCGCATTGTAGTTTTTCAACTCTGCTTGATCTTCTTCGGCTGTCTGAACGAGTAGGCGGGAGTTTGATTAGTTTCAGGTCTCCTTGAAAAAGCTCTCTTCTTTCCTTTCATGTTGTAAGGAGGCATAGAACATACCGAGACTTGTTTTGTATCATCGACCGGTGCCCCAACAGAGCGCCTGGAGGAATCACATCAGTACAGCTGCAGGAATGTATATGGCAATAGACAGGCCGGACGGGCTATCGCAGGCAATGATGGTTCAGCAATGACTTACAAAACTGCATCTAGCTCTTTCTTCTTCTCTACACGAGCCTTCTGTTTCTTGAGCAAAGCTTCTCGTCCTTGCCACCACTGTCTCTCGTGGTGGTGCTGGCTTTGGATCAGTCGTCGAATTCGTCGTTGTGCGTCATCATTCTGGGAGACTTCCCGCATCACATGTCGTAGTGCGGCAGGCCATGTGGTGATGGAAGAAGAGTCCGCGATACTGCTTGATGCATTAGGATGCAGAGGAGCTTTAGCTAAGGGCGCATGAGCCCCTGTGGTTCTTTGATAAGTTGAATGATTTGAATGTACTTGGGCTACAGGAAATGGGGGTGAAGCTTCTGCAGGCTCATACGGGTCATCTTCCTGGTCCTGCGTTCTTTGTTGAACGGGGGAATGAGATGATATATGGACAGAAGGAGGATTGTTTTGATAATCCTGATGACTTTGATTATTTGACAGAGCTGATAGCGTCCTCAAAACAGACGTCAAATCTGCGGAGTTGTAGCCCTCCGCATTCATTGTTGATGAAAGGGAGCAATCGGACAGCGAGATGCTGAAAAGATTGACAACGTTTAATTATCAGCCTTGTATCCATAGAATGATTCAACGGAAAACTTAGATTCCATGCGAAAGAAATATCTGAGCGATGGACGTAGATGTACTTCTGAAAGTATGACATCTGTCTAGTGGGCGATGTGCGGGTCTTGGCTCTCCTTCTCTCCATCCCTCCGCTGAAATTTTCCCGATCTAACCTCTCACGCCGCTTGTGCTGCTTCCGCGATCTGCCACCTGCGCTGCCCTTGGAATTCGCCGGAAAAATACCAAAGTTGACGTCAAAAGATACGTGGCTGGGGAGGGCAGCTTGTTTACATTATATACGGCAAACAGAAAAGAAAAACGACTGAATCGAAACAAATTGATACGGAACCCCCTTCCCGATACCATGTCCAGATCCGCAGCCGACGCGACACGATTCACAGCCACAGGGCCCTATGCCAGCTCCAAGCCCGGCGGGACACCATACAAGCTCCCCAGCTTCATGGCAGAGTCAAAGAAAAACACCGCACGGGGGCCCGGCGAAAGACCAGAGACTCCGAAGGAAAAGGTCGAGCGATTGCGAGCCCAGGCACGGGCGGCTCGGCTGGCCCAGTCAACCACGCGCGTCGATCAGATGATTGATGTAGGGCGCAGATTCGCGAACAAGGCGCATAAGGTCATGGTCTACAGTTTGATCACCGCGTCCGGTACGTGTTTAGGAAGCATGCCAAGCGGCAACCCTCCAAGCTCAAGACTTGTTGATTGCAGTGAAGGTTACGGGATGGTCGGAATGTGCTAATATGTTCTGTCTCTGGCTAGGTATCTGCGGTGTCCTCACGGTTTATTCTATGGTTTCTTTGACACTATACAACCGTCGTCAGCGAGTGTTGTGGGTTGAGAGGGAAATGCAGAAGCTGCAAGATGCAAAGGCAGCTTATGCCAGCGGATCGGCAACACCAGAGCAACTCGAGTTGATCAAGAACGAGGAAATTGGCGAAATTATGAAGCGGAAGAAGGAGGAGGCGAAGGCTCAGAGACCGTGGAACCGGGCCAAGGAATACCTGTTTGGAGGACTAAAGCAGGACGAGACCACTTCCGATTTATCGTCAAAGGTTGACGGAGCTGCCGATAACAAAGTGGGAGTGCTCGAGGCCCTCAACGCGAAGGCTGCGGAAGATTCTAAGTCGAGGACACCCGTCGAAACAGCGCCAATGCCGGCACAGCCGGGACAGCTGGATGTTCTTGCTGAGAATGTGGAAACCGCTGCGAAGCAGTCAACACGAAGCTGGAAAAGCTGGCTTACCGGACGGTGAAAGTGACATATACCTACCAATAAAGCAGTATCGGGCATATCTTCGACTTCTCCGCGCACTATCTTCCAATGATGTTGCCGACTGTTCCTATCATTCTTGCATGGCATGTATCTCAGTCTCTCATCTCCTTTCATTACCCATCATTTCCTAGGGGTTGTGGCGTCTGTATACGGTGTCCCTTGAGCTTTCTGCCTTGCCTTGACCTATGTAATACTGGCTCCCTCTCTTACTGTGTACATATAATCTGCTTCCACCTTGGTCACTTGGCTCCGCTACCTGTGCTTAAAAAGAATAGATCATCAAGTGTGGGTCTATATGTACAAAAGACCATTTACGATCTCCTATATCATTGCATCCTGTCTACACACTGAAAGGAAGGTCGATTTGTGCCCTGAAACGCCAGCTGCACTTACTGGGATCGAACGTTATAAGAAGCCCAAAAACATCATCAACTGAGAAAGACAAGGCTCAGGAAACTTTTGCTTCAGTCTGGTTCCCCAAACCCAATGGTGAATTACTTAGAGAGCTCATGGAAGATAATCGTCGCCAAATTTTGACAGAAGAGAAAATAAATCCTAAATGGGGAATGGCACGACGGCCCTGGTGTCTGAATCAAAAAGAGCGCTTAGGTGGGCCACCAAGGAAGAGATGCCTCGGAAACTGCCCCAAGGGAACTGTTTATTGCGAGGCACCATTCGATTTAGAAGCTTTGACGGTCCGTCTGGTACGGACTGCATCAGCGAGGTCCTCCAACACAGTAACAGTTGTTTCCCAGTTAATGCAAGCATCCGTAATGCTGACACCTTTGAGAAGTCCCGAGGGACCCTCAGGGGGCACTTTCTGGTTGCCTTCATTGATGTTGGACTCAATCATGACGCCAATAATGGCGTCTTCGCCCTCACGCAGCTGGTCTGCCACCTCCTTAGCAACGAGAGGCTGATTGCGGTGATCCTTCTTCGAGTTTCCATGAGAGCAATCCACCATAACCACCTCGCGCTGCTTCTTGGCCCGCAGGGCCTCACGAGCGCTCTTAATGCTCTCTCGATCGTAGTTCGTTCCCTTGTTACCACCACGCAGAATCACAAAGCCGTGCTCGTTGCCTGACGTCTTGGTGATGGCAGCAAGGCCCTGCTTGGTCACACCAAGGAAACGGTGGGGGTGGGAGGCAGCTCCAATGGCGTCGATAGCAACAGTGAGGTTGCCATCCGTACCGTTCTTGTAGCCAATAGGAAAACTCAGACCAGAGGCCAGCTCACGGTGCAGTTGCGATTCGGTCGTACGGGCACCAATAGCTCCCAGAGAGATGAGATCGGCAAGGTACTGAGGGGAAATGGTATCGAGCATCTCGCTAGCAATGGGCATTCCCATACCAGTAAGATCAGCATAGAGCTTACGAGAGACACGCAGACCCTTGTTGATGTTGTAGGTTTCGTCAATATCCGGGTCGTTGATCAGACCCTTCCAGCCAACGGTTGTGCGGGGCTTCTCCAGGTAGGCACGCATAATCACACAGAGCTCTCCAGAAAGCTTTTGAGAGAGCTCCTTTAGCCGGGTTGCATACTCGAGCGCTGTAGCGGGGTCATGAATCGAGCATGGGCCTACAACAACCAGGAGGCGGTCATCGCGTTGTTCAATGATCTCAATGGCCTGGTTACGGCCAGATCGGACTGCCTCAATCGCATGGGCAGGCTGGAATAAAACTGGTCAGCCCCAATGTTATACTTTTCACGGGATGGTTTATTTGGCATTTCTGAAGAGGATTTTGTAGTCGCATATTGTTCGACGCTGGCCAGGAACAGGGCTGAGAAATGGGTGACTCACAGCAGGGATCTCGGACTGAAGGAACTGGGGGGAGAGCAATGGGTCATATCCCAGGACTGAAGAGAAAGATCATTTGATTAGAGAGACGACTTGTTTCTAGTATAACAAAGAAGAGACACTCACCACGAGTGTCCTCGTTGACCTCAGTAGTTTTTACGAGGGGCATGATTTATCGTGGGGTTGCAGCGATGTCGGAGTCAAAAAAAAAGTTCTTGAGAGCTTGGGGGAAGACGGAGCAGTGGTTTTTGTAGTCAAGACCCAAGAGGAAGCAGCAAAGACTAATGAACAAAAGACTCTGAACCAATTGAAAAAGGGACGTTAGTCACAAGGTAAGATGGTGATATGAAAGTGGTTATTTATGCCAGATGGGATACGAGTAGAGAGGTATAACAGAAGAGTAAAATTGCAGATCGGGTATCCTAAGTGGGGTAACAAAATGATTCACACAGAGAAAAACATGCAACCCAATCATAAGCTGACCACTTAAAGACTGGTATTATAATTACTCGGTCGGGCGCATGGAATCTGGATGTTGTACCTAGGTACAGAATACTTTTTAAGTACTTACCTTACCTTTGCTAAGTATCTTAAGGATTGGACAGCTCTGTACTATTGAATGGAAGTACCAGGTACTTACAGCATGGAAATATATGCTTGAGATCTTCTACTACCTTACCATCACCCTTTCTATTGTCAATTAAACAGACAAGGAGATAAAACTCAGTGTCGTCACAGTCCATACTGCAATTCTAACTCGTCGGTTCATGCCTTTAAGCATTGGACTTGTGGCACTCCATTGTCACTCTTTCACTCCGTACCTGACGCCTCAATTCGATTCTGTAAGAATTAGATGTAGGTACCCCTTACTGTAGGGTTTATTCTGTAATCCATCTCACCGCACATTGACCACCATGGTATCCAGTTGTAACACCGAGTTGTTGTAATACTTCATGTCGGCCAAAGAAGTCTAGACCCCTACAAAGTCCGTTACTGACGGGAGGTCAATGGAGGTCAATCTGAAAAGTAAGCTCGAGTTTCTTGATCTGACTACAACTGAATCACAATCTGCAGTCATCACTCATGCAGATGACGTCCGCAGTCCTACGTGGTATGGACTTCACGTCCTTGAGAACGATACTTGAAGTAAACTAGGAAGACACAGAGCTGAATACTGAAAGTACGCATGATGCAGGTTCAGGCTGTTTACAAATCAGACAAACTTATATTATAAACTGAACCTTACTGATGCAATAAGGCCACAGACTACCTACTTATGAATCTTGTAAATTAAGAAGAGGTGAAGGAGCTACTTTTGTCTAGTGACAATCAGTCAGAGTAATATGGGCATAATGCTAGCGTGATCGATATAGTGGTTTACCTTAGTAGCCGATGTGTACCTCGCTAACCTTGGTGATAAGTACTCCGTCGCAGATAAGCAAAGCATAAAATTGTTCTCCACTTCGGTCCGCTACTCCGCTTTCGAGGCTAAGGGACAGCGAGGAAGCTCAATCTTAGGATCTTAGTACCTTGTGGATTGGTGGCCAACTAGTCCAGACTAGGTTATTGAGAGCTCCCATATAACGCCAGCTTACTGGTTTGCTTCCTCTGCATCATTCTCTCTTCTTCACCGTTCTCGTTGATGTGTATGCTGGCCTCAAGTTAGGGAGGTTTCTCACTGCCCCTTCCCTTTCAATGTTTCAATTGATGCATTTCGACTGAATGCAGGCTTGAACATTCATTCTTAATCCATTCTGGTCGAATAATCACATCATACCTTGACCTTTTACACCTGGGAGGATCACCGTCTTCAGTGGGATGATGAGAAGGTCATGTTAGGGTTCTCAAAACGACAGAGGGAGCCAGATGAGCTGACGGGCGATGATAAAGATGGGCCCAGGGGGAACAAGGTCCGTGTTCTTTCCGACCGATGTCATGATCATCTTGTTGAAGCAAGGCCAATCCGCCGCCTGCCGATTCATGTTGCACTTTTTCTTGCCTGCAAATCATCCACCCTACAACAACTGATAGCCGCGCGTCCAGAAATCACGCCCTCTAGCCTTGCGCACCTCGCCAGATAACCGAGGACTCTCCTACACCGAAGCTTGCCAGGCGTCAAACCGACCTGGTATACCTACTTTGACTCCTGCCGAGTCGTCAGATGATGATGACGATGGCATCACTAGAACGTTACGCGATCCTACAACAGCAGCCGTAAACGCCTCGCGTTCTGTTCCGCAGATCCTCAACTCCTCCGCTCTGGTATTTAGCACGACGATGGACGTCGACAGCATAGGGGATACCTATAACTTGACTAGCAATGAGATTCCGCACGACTGGCCAGGCAGCACGCCTCGGAACGGAAGCGTTCAACCATCACCAATCCCACACAATCTGGTCAATCAGTTCCTCAACATCAGCGAACAACCTAAAGTATTCAGTATATCCGAACATAATTCCGCAGGAAATCCGTCCGCGCAAGTGATGGATCAGGCCTTCGTGGAATCTACGAATAAGATCGGCCCTCCTCAAAAGCTGTCTACCGAAAGTAGTCAAGAAACTTTTGGTTCCACTCAGCGTCTCCCAAGTCCAATCAGCGAGGACGATAATGCCGTTTCTCATGGAAAGTGCTCTACAAGTGATGCTGAGATGACAAGTGGTGCATCTCGATCAACATCCCCGGCGCTCTCCCCATTCCAACGAGACCCGTCGCAGTGGCTTGGCACGACTGAATCACGACAGCAAGCCACACGGTCCGCCTATCCAAACGGACCCCATTCAAACAAGAAGAAGGTATCCTTTGCCATGGGATTTCGAGCTGATTGCGACAAATGCCTGCGCAAGGTTCCGGGCCACTACAGCCATATTATCCGCAATTGACATCTTCTGTCCGACTTGCGACTACCTCACATGTAATGATCCCTCATTCACCAACATGCGACATTCTGATGATACCTGTCTTACCGTCATGATTTATCTTGTTGAGTGCTCTTGATACCAATATACCCATGGACGCAACGGTTCAGAGACATCACAGAGCTTCAACGTCCATAAGGATAGGGCCACGCAACCCACATATATCAATGCTCAATAATCCCAATGAATGAAAACATCGACCTTTCTGTTCTACACGATCGTTCCCAACTGGACCAGGGGAGGTAAGACATGTAGATAGGTAAGGTAGATCCTTGAAGTCACTTGATGTTTTCTCATTTTGAGTCATTTCCGACAGACCGATCCGAGACCGATGACGTAAGCCACCGCATCCGATTAGCGGTCGGATTTCCCCCTACCAGATATCCGAAGGACAATGGTGCACGAAGGTTGTAAGCAAGACGAGCCAGATGACCTTCGAAATAGTCGAGTAGGTAGGAAACATACGAACAATATGAATGGGAGGTGAATATGACAACAAGGCCTCCAGGGTTGCACGTGGTGCATTTTTATGAGCGATAACATCCCCCACATCCCGCCGTCCTCAGATTGCCTCGCCTCAGCTGCTGTCGGCGGCAGATCCCTTAGCCGAACTTCATTGCCGGCAGTTCAATGGCAGCTTCAACGCCTCGTCTAGGCATGACGGGTCTGAACCCCGGAATACAGCCGGGTAGCCTCTTTTATATAAGTATTTTGCCGGGTCCTAATCTTCCTGGGCTAGTGGAGGCGAAATTAACCAATACTGCTCCTTGAAGGTTGTTTTGGAGGATATACGGTCACTGTCTCGGCCACGCATCGCCCACCTTGACTCTCTCGCCAGTCTCCGATTGTGTCGGCCTCAGACCACTTTCACAGACGCCCAAATGGCTTCTCCTATTCCCCGAGGCCTTCGCCAGGTCCTCCAAAAGTCCCCTTCAGATATCGTCATTCTCTCCGCACTTCGTACGCCAGTAACTCGCGCGAAGAAGGGTGGATTCAAGGATGCCTATCCCGAAGAGCTTCTCACCCACGTCCTCAAAGCAACTCTCGAGGCGAACCCAAATCTTGACCCAGCTCTGATTGACGATGTCGCTATCGGCTCGGTCCTCCAGGAACTAGGCGGTGCCAAAGCAGGGCGCATGGCTCAGATCCACGCTGGCTTCCCCCACTCGGTGCCTTTCCACACAATCAACAGACAATGCTCGTCTGGCCTGGCCGCTATCACAGCCATTGGTAATGGAATTCGGGCAGGTGCACTGAACGTCGGCGTTGGTGGTGGTATGGAGTCTATGACCCGGAACTACGGGTCCCGTGCCATCCCGACAGTTTTATGGCCTGAATTGAAAGAGTCGCCATCCAAGGATGCTAGAGACTGCATTATGCCCATGGGAATTACTTCTGAGAACGTCGCCGCCCGGTACGGTATCTCGAGGGCGGACCAGGATGCGTTCGCAGCCGAGTCACACAAGAAGGCTTCAGCTGCCCAAAATGCTGGTCTGTTTGATACCGAAATCGTACCAGTCAAGACCCTTTCCTTTGACCCGGAGAATCCTGATGCGGCGCCCAAGGAGATTACCGTGACAAAAGACGACGGTATCCGTCATAACATTTCTGCTGAGAAGATGGCAACTTTGAAGCCTGCCTTCAAGGCAGATGGCACTAGCACTGCTGGAAACAGCTCGCAGGTCAGCGATGGTGCCGCTGCTGCTTTGTTGATGCGCCGTTCTACCGCTACGGAGCTTGGCTTGACTGCTTCAATCCAGGCTCGCTGGGTTGCAACCGCTGTGGCTGGATGTGCTCCCGATGAGATGGGTGTGGGACCCGCAGTTGCCATCCCCAAGCTTCTTGAACTCGTCGGCATGAACGTTTCCGACGTCGGTATTTGGGAGATCAACGAGGCTTTCGCATCGCAGGCTCTTTACTCTGTGCGTAAGCTTGGAATTGACGAGGCCAAGGTTAATCCCAAGGGTGGTGCCATTGCGATTGGTCACCCCTTGGGTGCTACTGGTGCCAGGCAGCTCGCCACTTTGCTACCTGAGCTCCAACGCACTGGACAGGATGTTGGTGTAATCAGTATGTGCATCGGCACTGGCATGGGTATGGCCGGTATGTTTGTTCGGGAGTAAATGTGTTGATTCCATCTAGTATCAATTGCGGTGTATCTATGTTATGATAACGGCGTAAAGACATGTATATACATCATAGCGTTAAATTTGATATCCCTTTGCTATGTTACGCATTCTCTATCCTTCTGTCCAAACCATTGTATGAATTTCCTCCAGGTTACACCATAAACAGTGAGCAATTGGCCTAGATTGGTTGTGGTGCCAAGACTTAAATCCTCTAAGTCACGTGACAATGTTGCGGAAGATCGCTCGGCATCATGAAACTTTTCGAAAGGTGGTGGATAGTCAACAATTTCCGCAAAGCCCCAGTCATGCGTCAATCACTGCGGCTATTGAACCTGGAGGTGTCACCCCTCCAGGGCTCCAGAACTCTTTACGTTTGTTCGATCTGTAGGCAGGACGTGCGGCCGCGCCCCGTCCTTGTCCGTCAATTCCTGCGAAATGCCTCGAACGCAACACCACTCACCGAACGAGTGCGCCGCAAGATTTGGGGAACGGACAATCCGCCAGGCTTGAAAGATCCATACGGAGGCGAAGGTGTTCTTGAGCGGAAATGGAAGAAGCAGCCTGAACAACAAGAGGAAGAACCGGCTCGCGGGTCCACTGAAGCTCTGGAAACCCAGAGCGAGGATGTCTTATCTGATAACTACGAGCCTGCAACAACATGGGAGGGTCTTCCTCGTGTTGGTCACCTGGGGAAGTGGTCAGACCTTCCCCCTACGGAAGCTGATGTGTTCAACCCGTAAGTTTGCTACTCTTCCTCTACAGGCCGTTACGCACTCTTTTCGCGGCCTCCGCAGTTTCGGTGAATGACAACGAGCTCTTTACTGACTGGGAATTCAGTTTCATGCTCAAGAAGAAACTGACCAAGGAGGGCCACCTTCATTTGGCCGCTCACCAAGCCGCAGTCGAAATCTGCCTGATGCATGCGCTGAAGAAGCCACTCACGAAGATTTGTGACGTCGTGGAACATGAAAAGCCCGTTTTCAAACTGATCTGGAAGTGCAAGATTGACCCGAATGCGGAGAGTCAATGGGGCCAATCTTTGGTCTATCCGGACGACGAATCGAAGGATGTTCTCGTTTACATCTTCGAGCAGATTGGTGGAGGAGCCGATACGACTGCCACACCAGCCGAGGAAGAAGTGCAAGAGGACGCTGAGACAGAGGAACTTGGGGAATCCGTCGGAGATTCGATATCGCAGGCCCCCACCCCTCCATTCTTCGGTTACCGTAGTGTGCAGGATAAGGGATTTCTCTCCCTGTCATTGAACGATCCAGAGACTAAATTTGCTGTAAGTTGGCTCACATCTTTGAGTTAGTATCATATGGGAAATACTGCTAACGTTATCATAGTTCCTGAAGAGACTCTCTCAATTGAGCGGTCACTATTTCCCTGATCCTGTCATGCATTCAATCTCCACCGTCAAGCAGGCCGTGGAATATCTCGAGGGAGTCGTCAATCCGAAACCCACCAAGTTGGCCGATCAACTAGTCAACAACCCCGAGCTTCAGCACCTGCCTAACGTCAAGCTCTTTACCAAGCGCCAGACAGCTTTGCACAAGGATGAGGAACTGGGTCGGAAGAAGATCATTGAATCTGAACTTCGCGCAAGAGGCCTCATTGAATAAATGTGTCTCGGGTTCAGAGTGTTACACTAAATATGTCATATAGTTTTATTAGGTAGCATGCTTTCTTTCTCTTCTGAATAGGGGAATATCTGTACAATACATGAAATATTCTTTTGGAATGTTTACAGCATCAGGTTAGTGTTAAAGCGTCTATCGAATATTGAATTTATCAGAAGAGCCGGTGCAGTAGCCGACAAGCATACCCGTTAACGCCGAACGCCTTCAGAATGCACACATTAGAGCTCATTATCTCTTAGAGGGCATCGTGTAGCCTCTCGTCATAAAGTCACTATTGGTGGACTTGACGTCTCCAGAGTTTTTAGTAAAAAGACTGCTGATATTCTCGTTCGCACCCATCATTTTCCGACGCCTTTTCTTCTCGTTCTCCTCTTCCAGGACCCGAGCGGTCAGCATCGCAGTAGAGGCGTTCTTGATACCATTTGATGCACTGGGGGTCGGAGTCGAGGTATTGCTTCGACTCGAGGCTGCAGCCCGTTCCTTTTGTGAGTAAGAAGCCAAGGCTGACTTGGAGTCTGCTTCGGTAGTGGCTTCAGTCTCAGCCGAATCTCCATTAGCATGCTTCTTGCGCTTTTTAGAGCCAGGAGCTTTTTTGAGGGAATGAGTGAGCCCTTGCTCGGCTAGCTTTTGCGCTCTCGCCATCAGCCGTTGTTTTTCTGATTCTTTCGGTGGAAGGATCGGGATGACGTTATCCTCGGCGTAGGGCTCGTTGCACTGCGCGTCGCGGACGAATTAGCAAGAAATTGGGGTGCTGGGATGTGGCTCACAACAAACATACCTGTAGACACTTATCGTCCCTAAGCTGACGAATGGCTTCTTCAGAGAAAACATGGCCACATGGGACAAGGTAGACCGACTTCACACTCGGGCCTAGCTGCTTAGCAGTGACGGGACAGATCCATGCTTCGCGTCTATTATGCTTGCTGGATGGGTGTTCGCCGCGCTCCGTATCGACTTCGAACTTCAGCTCAACAACATCGCGAAGTCCCTTAACTCGCCCGCATAAGATCTCTTCGCAGTCTGCTTTAGAGCTGATACCCTGGGCGTCGTCACCGGGAAGCAAGAATTCCAATATTGCATCCTTATTGTATAGATTACCGACACAATCGGAGACAATCGGTCGAGCTAAAGGTTTATGCGACAATGGACAGGTGGTCCAAAAATGCTCTTGCATTTCACGTTGGGCCTCTTTCACTTGCGCTGTGCTGGGAGCTTTTGCGGCCTCTCTGACGAGCTCGCGGCGAGTTGGGATACTATGCAAGACCTTAGTTGGACAAACCTACTGATAAAGCGCGTTAAGAACACTTACCTGCCACCATCATTACCCATTTTTGCAGCGATTAATTCCAGAAATTTCGTATATATGGTATCAGAGAAGTGTTGCGACAATCTCATTCACAAATCAGTTGTCGCTTGCCACAGAAGAATGATATCGGGATGACTAAGGCGGCCCATTCTCCCCAGATTGTTTCCGCCGCCTTATCAACAGCTGGCCAGAAGCTCTCTCCGCATTCCTATAGAACCAACTGTCCCGGGCACAACAAGGCATTGACGAGCGAGCTCAATGCTTGCATCATGATACTTTCTCAGGGAGTGCTTTTCTTTGCGAGCATAGCGGCATGCTCTACTGCCGCGGCTGCCGCGAGCGATGGTACAGCAAGACCTCGGGGTGTCGGTCCAGAATGTAAGTATACTATTACCATGCATCTTAGCTCATGTGAAGGCTCCGTTCGCCTGCCATGATATTCGGCCCCCATGAAGCCTGGGTTATGATGCTTTTGTGACCACAACCATTATAAGCCCTTCATAAGTTACGAGGAAGCTAATGGCGCAATTCGCGCGCACCAGTTGCCAAGTTCTACAAAGACACAACGACATTCAGCTGTATATCGAACCCAGCCATACAGATCCCCTTCTCGGCCGTGAACGATGACTACTGTGACTGTCCGGATGGCAGCGATGAGCCTGGAACGTCAGCATGTTCTTATTTATCCCGTAATACCCCACTAACGGCCGCCGATCGGCCGGGGAACAGCGACCTCGAACTTACACTTGCCCTCCCGGGATTTTATTGCAAGAATAAAGGCCATAAACCGTCATATGTTTCTTTCCAGCGAGTGAATGACGGTATCTGCGACTACGAATTCTGCTGTGATGGAAGTGACGAGTGGGCGCACGTCGGGGGCACCAAGTGCGAAGATAAGTGCAAAGAGATTGGCAAGCAATGGCGCAAGCAAGAAGAGAAGAGGGCGAAATCTATGACGGCTGCCCTCAAGAAGAAGAAGGATCTGCTCGTGGATTCGGGCCGACAGCAAAAGGAAGTCGAGGACCACATCAGGAGATTCGAAGTTGAAATCCAGGCACTAGAGATGAAGGTGAAGGACATGGAGGCTGAATATGAGGAGGTGAAGAAGCGAGAAGAGAGCAAAATGGTAAGGGGCAAGAAGGCAGGCAAGGTTAACATCCTTGCTTCCTTGGCCAAAGGACGGGTTGAGGAGCTGCGGAATGCGCTGGTAGAGGTTCGCAAGGAGAGGGATGAGGCTCGATCGCGGCTAAAAGAGCTCGAGGACATCTTGTCCAAGTTCAAAATCGAATACAATCCCAATTTCAACGACGAGGGTGTCAAACGAGCTGTGCGCAGTTGGGAGGAGTATGCTGCCAGAGAAGACGTGGGCAATCTCGGAAACAGCGCCCGCGACCGAGATCTGGATGAAATTTCCAAGCCTGATGACGACACATCGGGAGTCAACTGGGAGCAGTGGGAAAATGAGGAGGACGAGACCGACGCAGGTTAGTGCTTCAGCTGTTTCATTGCGTATGCCGGTTCGGTTGCTGACCTTCCATCTAGTCTACAAGCTGGCAGCTTACCTGCCTCCTTCTATTGTGTCGTTTGTGGAAGATAAAGTGGTTTCCATTCGGCGCTTCCTCGAGGACAACGGCATTCTGCCCAAGAAGGGAGAAAGCTCGACTGCCGAATCCAAGGCAGTGACCGAAGCTCGCGAGGGTCTTGAAAAGACCAAGACCAATCTTGCGGAACTATACACTCAGCTGAAAAACCATCAAGCCGATCTTGAAACCGACTATGGAAAGGCAGGCGTTTTCCGCGCTCTTAAAGGCGTTTGCATCTCCAAAGATTCCGGGGAGTACACGTATGAACATTGCTTCTTGGACCAGACCAAACAGATTCCCAAGAAAGGCGGAGCAACTGTTCGGATGGGTAAATTCGGTCGTATCGGATCCGTCAGCATGGACGAGCTCAACGAGACCGGCGAGATTGTGCCCGAGGAACGGGTTTCTCTTGAGTACACGAATGGGCAGACCTGCTGGAACGGACCAGCGCGGTCAACCACAGTCATCTTGGAGTGTGGGGAAGAAAACGAGATCCTCAAAGTGACAGAGGACGAGAAGTGTGTCTACTCCATGATTGTCACCACCCCGGCGGTATGTCCGGGAGGAGAAGAAGAAGGCGATGTGGCACCAAGGCGCAAGGATGAACTGTAGAAGCGGATGTTGTCAGATCCTGGATTTTGTGTTGATGTATAGCGGTCGACTTTCATTATGATTTATACAGGTTCGATACGAGGGTTAGTCCTTTCTGCCTTGCCAGATATTAGTTCTAAGATGCACATCGCCGACTGCAGAGGCCAAACACATGGTAGGATGAATAATCGGACTACGGGCATTACCTGCAGAGGAATTGTGCGCTATGTTTGATCCGTAAGACCCTATGCACCTACGTCTAACATAGAAAAGCCCTCCCCTTCCTCCGGGAAGGTATTCTACCTTATAATAGCCCCATTTACTCCGTACGGAAGGATGTGCATGTTTGCGGTCAGAGAAGAAACATCTGGGAGGATCTACCTGTAAATATATGTCCATGTCCGTCAGGGCAAAATATTCCTAATCCAACAAGCGCCGATCCATCATGTCTGATCATTAGATATTATTCGACGCTTACAAGACCATATCGAGCTTGAACAGAAGAGCTCGAATGTCGACCTTAAAACTCATGATGACTACGTCAATGAACAGGGGTACACGCGTTCTCAATAAAATAGAACTTGAATTTCCTATCCTATCATGCCTTAATCAAGCGACTGACAGTCACTTCAACCATGCTGTGCAAGTCCAGGACTCACGCAGAGACAGGTAGCAAACCAACGAGGAAAGAAAAACACATCACAACCCTCAAGCCTCAAGACAGCCCCCGAATTGGCATATCTCACGACGGCAACAAGAGCGTACTTGGTGGCATCGTGTCAGGAAATCTTTGTCTGTCGTCTCGAAGATGAGAGCCGGGGGGGTTAATGTGCCATTTAGTGCTGAGGAATAGTTAGCTTCCATATAGACTAGGATCGGCTCTGGAATCTGGGAGATACATACACCGCAAGAGGAGCAGGAGCAGCCGTTGCAGTCGCTGGAGCAGGCGCAGGAGTTGCAGGAGCAGGGAGTCATTTTGATTGAGTTGGTGGTGAACGAAGCGTGGCTTGAAGAAGAAAGGCTGTTCAGTGGGTATGAGGCTTAGTATGAGAAGGATAAGAAGAAAACAGACAGAAAGAGGGAGACCAGGGCTGCCTTTATACCCAGAGATGGACTCTCTCTCTGGTGGAGGTGGTCAACTATCAGTCAGGATAAGAGTGTGAGGTCAGGTCAGCCAGTCAGGGCTTTGCTTTTTTTTTCGTTTCGGGATGCAGAGGTCAGTGTTGAAACTTGTTTCTGCGTATCCCAACGCCAAGTTTTGATTCGTTGTCAGATGATCCAAGCTGATTTCAGTTTTCTGAGAGTGCCTTTCTGGTGGTCAATGTGGTGCTAAAATGCCACTACTGTACGCATACCGGTGGGGTTATTTGGAGAGGAGGAAGAAAAGCAATGGACCCATGAGGGGCAAGCTTTCAACATTCACTTTCAGCACTGGGCTCTGCGCTGTAGGTACACAGCCAGGATTCGACTAGGCAGCTATCTACCTAGGGTACACAGGTATAGCCAGAGCTAGCTAAGTGCATACCGTTGCTCCAGTCATCCGTCGTATTAGCTGATGTTGGTCACAGCAGAACCGTGAACAGGCCTCTAGGCGAGTGACAAAGTGAGGCAGCAAGTAAGAAGGAGAGTTTGCAAGCCGATTATCGCTGAAATGCTTTCCTTGCCAGGTAAGTATATTGACTTGTTCTTATTATTATAAGTCCTTAGTAATGCAATGCTATGATCTCCCACGCTCTTACGCGGAGACTAAATCCTAGCAGTTCCTACATATCACGTACTAAGATAGTGTAGTGAACGACAGTTCAGCGTGCATGTGCGTTTTGTGTTAGAGATAAAGAGGATTCACGGTGACAATTAGGGAGGATTCATCATTATTTCCATCTCTTAAGCAGCATTCTGCAAGGAATCTTCGATCGAGTTGATCTGACAGGCAGACGTTAGAGAAGAAGACCCCGCCACAGGCTGAGGCAGGATAGCTTCAGGACTGCAGTCATCCCACCCTTGCTTGATGCAGATTCTGCGAAGCATTCCACAATGGGTTCTCCTACTGTAGCATTGAGCTTTGTGGAGCACCACGAGTGGGCGGTTATGCAGGCAATTTCCTGCGCTGGCCGCCTGTAGCCCAGTTAACGCTTGTATGCCCCTCCATCAGCCCCTCCTCCTACACCACGATTTACCACGAAGTCATTGGTTCAAAAGAGTGTATGCTTTTTCCTCAAGTTCAGGCGCAAGGAAAGTGGAGGTTCCGGCTGAGGTTAGCGTGAGGTATATCCTCTTCTTATGACCAAGTCAGAAGAAATATGGAGTCAGGAAAAAACTCCGATATACGGGAGGGACAGCATATACCTACCTTACATGATGCGCCAACCGCGGGATCCGCGACAAACTCGCACATGATGATCAGCTGGGGTCCAAGTAAGGAATCAGGCGCACTGAGCCTTTTAGAGGGTCTGTATGAAGTGGCAAGATTGGCAGAATCGAGGCAACTCTCCACACTTGCACCGCGTCAGAAGAGGATCGGGCGACTTGGTCACACGTTTGTTGATCTGATGATGATGGTCCGGGGGCTTCAAGCAGCCTTCGGCGACTACTATCGTTCTGCGTGTCATCTGGAAAATTGCTAACTGCTGTGGTATGTCGGAAGAACATTCAAGGATATCCACGATAATAGAGCGTGTGGTGTGTGTTCTCTCATGGTCATCCATGACAATAAACCCACGGCATACTGCAATTTGTTGTTTACAGATTTGAATCTAAGCACTACTAGTATTTCTAACTAATGTTTTGCAAGAGTAAGTCCAGAGTCCAGATAATCACAGTAAAATGATTTTCTTTTCTTTATTGCTTCGAATCTAGCCGAAGACTGTTCTTCTATCTCCACAACGAGGTAAACATAGTCCGTCCCCTAAGCTTCGCAGCATCCTCCCGAGAGGTAGCAAGTAAAATGTGTCATCCGCTCTACCTCTTCTGCAACCAGTATCCTTGTCAGTATGAGTCCAGGATAGAAAAGCTATCAGTTGAGATGCAAACGTACAGGGCAGTTGCATTGTCCAGCAGGGCACTGGCAAGAGGTTCCGCAGGTGCAGCCGTGGTCGCCTATCAGGAAGACGCTTCATGTCAGTTGGAAGGTCGAAAACTTCGAAAAGGACCCGTGCAAGAAGGAATGGAGATGAGCTTTAACAGGCAAACTATAAACGCAAACGAATATCGCAAGGCTGATTGCAAAGAGGAATACCCCGCTTCCCCTCAACTGACGACATAACAGCAATGATTGATCGGTATATGAAGCTGGCACTTACTCATGATGGTAGTAGTGATTATAGAGAAGGGTATAGCTCTTTCTGATCAAGTCGGTCTCGCGAGAAGCTTTTGTGTGAAGTTTTGAAGGAGTCAAAATCTGAAACCCAAGCTCAGGACGGGCGGGGTTGCTTTTATATAGGCCAAGGTGCCATTCTTGGCCTACCCCCGAATAGTACATCTTACCTCTGGCATCAGCGAATATTTCGCCACACCAACATCGATGTGAGCAGATTTCTGCACGTCGATGATCTGGGGCTGCCAATAAGTTTGTCTTGAAACCATATTCCACAGTCTGGGAGTGTTTTTCCTGGCTACAACGAGACATATCTTTACATGAGAGGCTAGGTAACTGCCCATAAGCTTCAGTCTTCTAGAACCAGTACATTGACACTAAAGTCAGATATTACGCGCAGCAAATTGCCAACTTCTTAGGTGTACTGACTTGAGGGAGCTTTGACGGAAGTTTTCACCACCTTGCTGATTGAAATCATTAGTAACATTAGTCCACCATGGCTACGGACGCAATGACTCGCCCCATCTCGTGCCTGTGCGGTGATGCAGCGCAAGACGTTTTGCTTGACTCGGCTTCTGACCTTTCGACACTTAATCTATGCCACTGCATCGACTGTCGGGCCATTACGGGCATGCTGTATTCCTCTTACTATTTCCTGCAGACTCCCGGCCCGAACTTGGATCGTCTTCAAAAATACCAGCAGTCGGACTGTATCAGCCGCTATTTCTGTAGAACTTGTGGAGCCCATGTGTTCGCCCGGCTGGAAGCCACTGGCAAAACTTTGGTCGCAGACGGCGTACTATTGGAGAAAACCCCGCCGGTTAGGTTTATACGGCATTGGAAAGCTGAAGATACCCGTGATGGCGGCTTGAGCTCTTTTCTGCCTGGAGACGCCAAACAAACAACATCAGCCTGCTGGTTAGACACCGAGCAGAATATCTGTAACGGACACGCCGAGGACAACAACAAGCTGGAGGAACAAGGTCATGGCTTTCACCGGCTGCAGGCTCGATGTCACTGTGGGGGCATTGAATTCTACATTACACCGCCAGACTCGAACTCCGCCAAGCCATGGTCCCCGTGGCCAGATTTGATTGTTCCCTACTACCTCGCATCTCCCGAGAATGTCGAAGACGTCAAGTGGTGGCTGCGAGATGGGAATACCAAATATCTGGTAGGAACATGCGCCTGTCGATCATGTCGTCTGGCCAGTGGGTTTTCCATCCAGTCCTGGGCTTTCATTCCCAGATCGAACATCATTTCTAGCGACGGAAAGTCCCTAGACTATGGCTCAGGGACAATGCAGCAATATGAAAGTCGCCCCGGAATCTACCGGGAATTCTGCAATCGCTGTGGCGCAACTGTGTTCTGGCACTGCCAAGAAAGGCCGGGCGTCGTCGATGTGAGCACAGGTCTTCTTCGAGCCAGAAGCGGTGTCAAAGCTGAGGAATGGTTAGAATGGGCAACTGAGCGAGTGAGTTTCAAAGAACTGGCCTTGGACCAGGAGTCTATTGAACAGTTGGAAGTGGGCTTGAAAACTTGGGGAGAAAGCAAGAAAGACCCTAATACTTGAGGTCAGGATGACCAAGATTTTGACGGTATCCTCATTCCATTGAAGTAGATAGATAGGCTCTTCTTGTATGTAGCTGACCGTTTGAGCGAGTATGTCAGTGTATCTTAGTGAATGTTGTTGATAAGTTGCTGCATACTCTGTAGTTGAGAACATCGAAGACAACTGACAAAAACTCACCGCCTTCCCGATACGCTATCGGTCCCCCAGACTTTTTCCTCCTGGCGGAGTCGAAATCGCAAAGTGAAAGAAAAAAAAAAAGTCGCGTCGTTTGATGCATCATTGCTTTCTTGGTGCAACTTCCCGTCTCCGGTCCCTGTTTCATAATCTCATTTTCTCTGCTCATACTCGAACTTTGCTGGCTGCGGTACAATCATGCCGCCAGCTTTCGAGTTTCGAGGCAACGACCGACGGTCGCACAATAACAATAATCCAAGACGCGAGTTCACTTTCCGATATGCACGACCTGGGACGGCCGAACGACCGCTCTTGACTACCAAAAGAGAAACCACTCCAGAGCCCATCTTGGGCGCTACAACAGGAGACGAAAAACCGGGCATGAAATTTGCGCCCATTTCAAGCCTCAGTGACAGCGAGGAAGCCGAGATGGACATGTCCGATGATGATAAGGACGACGAGGCTTCGCATCCGCGTAAGAAGCGTGCGCTAGGAACAAATACTGCGATTGCTCCTACTCCTGCACCAGTCACAGCTCCAAAATGGTCCAACCCAGATCCTTACACTGTCCTACCCCCGCCTGATGAGACGTTGGCGAAGAGGGTCGATGTCGTCAAGCTGATTCGCAAGGCGCGGATCGCTGAGAACGCTAAGCAGACAGCACCTGCGGATGCAGTGACGACCAACGAGGACTTTATATCCTTCAGTGGCTTGATCGACGAAGAAGAAGCCAGGATGAAGGTGCCGGACAATGCTCCTTCGGGACCGAAACGTCTGCAAGGAAGAGACTCTGCTCTCGGAAGCCGGAAGAGAACACACGATGACGAGATAAAGGGCTATTCCAAGAAGACCGGACGACCCATGGTCAGATTTTACGATGATGGCTCGATTATTGACGAGTGGAGAGCGCGCTCGCAAGAGGATGCAACTCCTTGGATGTTGCTCATGGAACCTTCCTTGCACCTGGGTTCTCGGCTGCACAACGAAATACTGAGTTTCTACCACTGGGTTAAACCGATGCAGTATGAGCAGATTGTCCGAGCGGATTTGATTACAAGGCTGCAGGTAGCATTCCAAAGTAGGTACTATGGTGTGCAACTTCGTCCGTTCGGCTCGTTCGCTTCTGGCTTGTATTTGCCCACCGCGGATATAGATCTTGTCCTGCTGTCATCAAATTTCATGCGCAACGGCATAAAGACTTTTGGTGAGCGTAAAGGGCAGATCTACGCTTTCGCGGCCTTTCTCAAAAATCTCGAAATCGCCGTTCCCAATTCAATAGAGACCATCGCGCATGCGCGCGTTCCGATTCTCAAGTTTGTGGACAAGATGACCGGCTTGCGGGTTGATCTGTCGTTTGACAATGATAGCGGGCTCATCGCCAACAACACATTTCAAAACTGGAAATCAGAATATCCGGCGATGCCCGTGATTGTAGCGGTGGTCAAGCAATTTCTGCTACTTCGTGGCCTTAATGAGGTCCCAACTGGTGGGCTGGGAGGGTTCTCCATAACCTGCCTCGTCACCAGTCTTCTTCAGCATCTACCACATGGTCACGCAGCGCCTAATCTGGGCAGCATTCTCATGGATTTTTTCGAATTCTACGGCAACACTTTCGACTTCGAGAATGTTGGTATTCGCCTGAATCCGCCGGGTTATTTCAACAAGGTAAGTATCTCAATGCAAACTTGGGCAGACTTTCCCATCCACTGATGACCCGCTTCCTTTAGAGAGTGTACAAAGGGTTCCAAGGGAATAACGATGCTCGTTTATCAATCGAGGATCCCAACAACCCGGATAACGATGTGTCGGGTGGGACTCGGGAAATCCATCTGATCTTCAGGTCATTCTCAAGGGCATTCCAACTGCTTAAGGAACATATGGTCTCCTCGGCGGTGTCTGGCGACACAAAAGCCAGTATTCTGCAAAGCATCATCGCTGCAAATTATGAGGAGTACGCACAGCAGCGTTCGCAGCTACGTGCGGTTTTTGAGACCCATCCCAGATTTGCACAGTATCGTCGAGCTCCCACACCTCCACCACCTCCCCCAGAGAGTCCTCCTCCACCTCCTGCCGACCTTGCTCCCCTGCCACCTAATCTGCCTGCTAAACCTCCTTCAGCGAAATCCTCCAAAGCTCCTCCAGCGCCAGCATCCAAGGACTCCAAGGACTCGAAGGAGAAGATGACCAAGTTGCAAAGAAAGCAACAAGCATCGCGAGAACGGGCCGCTCGTCTTAGACGTTTGCGCCCCGATATACCTGCTATTCCAAACTCCATCAGTAATGAGCAAGCCTTGAGTCTAGGTGGTTATAAAACCCAATCTGAGATGGACAGAGATCTCGCAAGTCGAGAAAAAGAGACGAAATGAACAAGTAAGGCAGGTGAATTCGTGGCCCGAGGTTTGATGTCAGCTTTGAACGACATTGACGCTTCCTTGCGGCGCCCACGAGCAATGATATCCCTCTGTTGAGGTCTATCCGGGTGACTCGATTCTCGTTTCTTTGTTCTCTCCAGTTTCATTCTGTCGTTTCATCGCGATTTGCATCAGATACCCGTGTTTGAGTATATGTGGAGTTCTCTTTGGGTTTGTGGATAGGGTGGGAGGCTATGCTGGTTGTCGGTATTGGTTCTGGGGGCGTTCTGAGTTTACGAAAAGAGTCTGTGATTGGTACTTCTGTTCATATTGCTTTTACCTCCTGTCCCTAAAGTGTGCAGCTCCCGACAATCGAGCCCTTTGGGTCGATATGGGCTACGTGTTATTTCAGATATCACCCGTTCTAACAGCAACATCTTAGGCTGTGTGCCGCCGCTGACAGATACAGTGATTTCCGTGGTCGAGTATCTCAATCAACACAGATTCCGTCTACTGCCAGCCGTCTCGCGAGACTGGTTGGGCCGTCCTGACACAGGTTTCACATCCCGAGACAGAGCGAAGCTTATTGATCCATTATGAACCTGAAATGGCTAGTTGAGAAACAATATTGACTTTTAAGTATTTCGAAATGCTACAGGTTACGGAGATGCAATCGTCTCCGTTCCGTTTTGCAAAATTCCCTTCCACCTCTTTCTCATCAAGGAAGCGCTATATGCGATTGCTTGGAGAGGATGATTTGGAGGAATACTGATTCGGACGGACACATATGAAAAGAAATTATTTGTCTTTTGGAGAGACGTCCATAAGTCAAAGGGGTGAATACAACGGTGCTTTGAAGCCAAACAGCAGAGGAACTCGATAATATCTCGTGAAAGATCTGAGAAGAGACCTTTTGGATACTCTTCCCCTATGAATTCTATCAAGGTGTGTACTCATCATCATGGGTCATTAAGGTCGAGAAGAAATATATCATAAAGCAACGTTGGATGGCACTGTGCCAAGGGGTATCTGCCTGTCCACCGCGTCCAAAGGAGGTGTTACCATAGACTCGTCCTGCTTTCCGGTAACCAAATCGGCGTTCTGATTTTTAGGACCGGCCGTTTCAATATCAAGTTTTTCCAGGAAAGCGAGATGCTCCGCGGGCAGCGAATTAACAAAATCTGGGCCAGGGCTGGGCCATGTATAATCCACCCATTGCGGGCCAAGAATGGACCGGATGTCTTGAGCCAGGGACAAAATGCGACTGCGACGTGACTTGGACCAAGCACGGTCGGTGATGACTCCTTCAGACGGCGTGAGAATGGCTGGCACTTGGGATGCGGTAGGTATAGCAGCGGCCTGAGCATGTTCGCTGGTGTCTTCCTCGTCATCCTGGTTCTCCAGTCCATCGACAATGCTGCGCCAAACGCGCAATGTCTCGTTCAGTTCCTCTATGTTGCTTACACCCATCACGCTGACGCCTAGCCGCTCGCCCGTTCCCATGTGGGCGACAGAGAGGAATCCCGGATCAGCGCCGGGGGACCGCGCAAGAGGCGGACCTAGAGCCCCAGCCTTAGCACCGTCGTGAAGCCACGACTCGAGAGCGAAGCGGATCGCAATCACTTCGAGTTTCTCTCCTTGAGCATCGGCCCACTCGCTCACACCGCGAATGGCTTTCCGAAGACCGTCTGGAGCGGGGTGAAAATCGCCCATGCTTCCAATGGGCACACCCTTCCGCCGTAGAAGGCCCATCCCTAATGGCGACGCATTGGGAATCACGTCCACGCCGGCGGCCACTAGCCGAGGGAGACCCTGGGTCAGCAGTCGGGTATTCTGGAGCGTGAAATTGGCGTACGACTGCACCGCGTCGAGCGGCTCGCCTGTCTCGCGCAAGACCAATTCTGCAAGGTTGTACAGTACATCCACAGGGTATCCCGATATGCCAACGTAGTGAATAGCGCCTTCGGTATCGCGGATGCGGCGCAACTCTCGAATCGCCTCGATGACCTGCTCGGGGCTCACGAATTCAACGTCATGGCAGTAGACCACGTCCAAGTAATCGGTATGGAGGCGGCGCAAACTGCGCTTCACGCTGTACCTCACCCATTTCGGAGAATAGTCAAAGGAAGAGGCTGCCACTCGGCCCACTTTGGTGAGCAATCGGTATGTATGACGGGGAAAATTGGAGCGAACGTAATCAGTAGCCAGAGCACGACCGAGAAGCTCCTCGGCTGGGCCGTAATATGGGGACGTATCGAAAGCGCGGACACCATTCGAGAGAGCACGATGAACAAGTTCCGTCGTGGGGAGGGCGTATGGATCCTGGTTGTACTGAGAATTGAAGGTCGCGGTGCCCATAATGAGTGGGGGAAGATGCGCCGACAGAGGGACAGAGGGACGCCCCATGATTGCGATTGCCACTTGTAAGCAATTCACAGAGTTTTTTGAGGTAAGAAGAGCAATGCGCTGCAATCTTCACTGACGAGACTATCAACAAGCCAGTGTTCAGTCGTGGAGATAAAAAGAAAGAAATCCTTGTTCGGAGGGGGGCGAAGGCGAGCCATCTGGAATTAATTTCTAACCCATGGGGCGGATGCCCACCTTAGAGGGAATGGCGCCATGGGCTGGGTCCGATTAGTGTTGCTTTAGATCAGCCCAATGAACTTCATGGCCGATCGACCATGCATAATCGATCGGATCTAGAATGATCAGAGGTTGGGAGATCCTGGAAGATGGACGATGGAAGACTTCTACTAGCAGTATTGATTGAAGGTACCTGAGATGGGATCGATCAATCGATCGATCCCAAGGCGGTGGTGAGAGAACGCCGAGAAAAGCTAAAAACGAACTCCCAACAACACTCTTTACACCTCTATACGCTTCTCCTACTATTAAAGATGACAGGAGATATTCCCTGAACTATAACTATTCTGTCATTGTCTGGGTAGGCAGTATATGACGATTGCTGAAATTATATAAAGCTGGAGGCTGGGTGGACTTTATTGCCCAAGGGAAGAGAATAGACAAAAGCAGACCGTCACCACATGGTGTACTATGGTACATTTGTTGATTCATTCCATGAATTAGGCAAGGTAGAGTGGAGAAAAATTGCGATAGACAGGGGGAAAGGACAGCATCTGCTCAGAGAAGAGACGAACTCTCCGTGACTCAGAAATAACTGTTTCCCTTGTATCCCGCTCCTCGAGAATAATATACACAAACGGGAACAAACCCGTGCAGGAGCAGAATAAAACACACGGGCGAGAAAAACAATAGGTTGAGAGCGAGGTGGTGTACAACATGATGCGACGGCATCTTTCGCTCCAACCGTGCCATGCAATGAACATCGAAGTAGTCAATGCAAAGGGCAGGGGTCTATATTGTCTCCAATACCAACATTGGAAGCCACCAAACAAAACGCCTTGCTATGCCGAAGAGCTGAAAGGAGAACGATGAAAAAAAGCAGAAAGCGACGTCGGATCGTAGTCCGTCCCAACTCAACAATCAATCTCTCCATTCCGCGAATTGACAGCGGGTCGGGTCGGATTCGAGAGCGCATAGCCTCGTGGGTAGAAGTCGAACACACTCAAACTCGACATTTTTCAAATTCCGGCGAAACAGAAAAAAAAAAAACAAAATCACCGGTCCTTGTACACCTTGGGATTCCAGCCTTCCCGGAGTTCTTTCTCCTGTGCGGCTTTGCGCTCCGCTTGTCGGATCTCCATCTCGATTCTCTCGCGAGCGCGCAAGATTTTGCTCTGCAGATAGAAGCTGCCGCCCTTTTGGGGATCATTCAGATCAAACAGCTTCTTGAACCGCTCCATCACCTGTTCCAGATTCGTTTCTCCGCCGGCCGGTGGCTTGACGTTGAGAATCTTGCAAGCCTCATCGAGTGTCAAGCCGGAAGATGCAAACGTGCTTGAGCTTCCTCCCTTTCCCTTATTTGCCTGGGCGTATTTGGACGATGCGGAGGCCTGCTTGTAAGCTTCTGCGAAGGCTCGACCGAATACTCGAGCGCCCGTGACGACGACCTGGGTAAGAATACGGTGGGCCTATGAAGTAGCAGAGGAGTCAGCTAGTTGCGCCTGCTGGTGATGAAGAGACTGAAGCCTGATTCTATGGGAACGGGGATAAGGTTGTTGAGAAAAGAACTCACCATGTCGGAGGAAGTAGGGAAGCAAAGGAAGATCAGAGTCGGAAAAGATCAAAGGTACTGAAGCACCTAGATCGAAGAGAGAATACTCAATAAGAAAAGAAGTAGAAGGAAGCTAACCGGTCAAACGTAAATAGCTATCCGGTCGTGAAGAGACTGGGGGATGAGGGTTGAATGGATGATGGATGGCGCTGGACAACCGGAGAATCGCAGATGGAACCTGAAGCCAGACGCTGAACGGCAAAAATTTCGGCGGCGGAATTGGTCCAGTCGCGATTCATTATTGTCGGCTTCGGCCAGTGACAGGACAGCTGAAGAACGCCATTATCGTATGGTCAGTCCAGTAGATAACTGCATACAGTTAAATCTTGATATTATTTGTACTATCAAACTATTTCGATCTTAAAAATACTAACTAATCCTTATTATTTCTCGTATACTACTCTAAGATATCGCCCTGGTATCCTCTTTGGGACAAGCAGTCACATGTCCCGATAACCATGAGCAAAAGGCTTCAAAGTGTCCGCGGATCTCAACCTGTTTCCCCCGCAGTCGATGATCTGCCTGCCTGCAACCCTTTCGGTTATTGGAGAGCTTTTCTTCTCATCCTACGTATTATCGGTTTTTCCCCTTCTCTTCTCCTTTCTCTCCCCTCCTCTTCTTCGCGATCGCACTGCCCGCAATGCTCTTGATGGATGATGCATGTGACCTCTCTGTTGGATGGCAGCACTCGGTACGTGACACAACTGTAATCCATCGCTACCTTACTCCCCCGAGCGAGGAAGAAACAACATGGGTCCGGTTCGATTGAAGAGTATACAGGAGATGCTGATGCTGTGGTAGAAGATATTCCGTGGATAGATTCCATGGCCCCGTCATACGCGCAGGATCATGGCTTACAGCCTGATTCTCAGCCACCAACGGTTGCTGCTTTTTCGCCCACTACCATTTCAGGCTCATCCTTGACGTCCAGACAACGTTCCAGCATAATCGTACATCGCAAATCTCCCCTTCTTGTGGCTACACCTCCGGCCATCACTCGAGCTCTGGCCTATTCTCATCCTTTTATACTTCCTTTGAATAAACTCGCCGGCTTGCTCACGTGGACAACGGACGACCCATGGCAAAGCTTCCTTCTCGTGGCGGGATTTTGGACGGTGGTCCTGTACAGCGATGCGATTATTCTTTGGGGCGGTCCGATGTTGGTCGTAGTCGGGTTAATCCTAGGCATGTATTGGAGACGCTTTTCTCCGTTATCGACGGCGGCATTCACGGGCGAGAAACGACAGCACCAAAAGAGTGCCTCTGAGGGTTCTTCGCATCAGCATGAGACTTTGGATGAGATTGTCGAGACATTGAGAACTTTCACCACTCGGTGCAACATACTCCTGGAGCCTCTCCTTGAGCTTACGGATTTCCTATCGACCCAGAGAACGGCGACTTCTGCAACTACAAGACCCGCTCTCACTACTATGTTCATACGAATTCTTTTTGTGACTCCCATCTGGATCGCATTGACCCTTCCGCCCTTTTACATAATCACAACTCGCCGTGTTGCCATGACTATAGGCACCATCATTCTTACCTATCACTCTCGACCAGCAAGAGTATCACGAGTCATTTTATGGAGATCTTTGACTGTTCGCCGAATATGTTCCATGATTACTGGTCTTTCATTTTCTTTAAATGCCAATAAACCGCAGTCCCTCTGGGCTCAGAGCCACGGTCATGCTGCAACCATTGCAACGAGGCGGCGAGGGGATTCCTCCGGCGTTCGCTTCACTTTTGTACTCTATGAGAATCAACGCCGGTGGCTCGGAATTGGATGGACATACTCTCTGTTTCCCTCTGAGCGTGCTGCATGGACCGACGAACATCTGAACCCAGCCCCGTCCAAGGATGACTTTGAGCTCCCCCATGTACAGGCTGGGAATGCCAAGTGGCGCTGGGTCGAGGGCAGTGAGTGGCGTATTGAAGGAGCTGACGATACGAACAGCAAGGCAGATGGTAAAGCAGCGGATGGTGGAGGATGGATCTACTATGATAACAAGGTGAGACCGCACCTCCGTCCGTGACAATTGACCCCTATTTAACTGTCATTGTGACATTATAGTGGAATGATGGCCGTCGTGGGCAAGATGGTTGGGATCGTTATACTCGTCGTCGGAAGTGGTGCCGCGACGCTGAACTTGTCGAGATACCACAAGCGACTGAAAACACGCCGGCTACGGCCAAGTCTAGTTTAACACAGGCGTTGGATAATCAGAGGGAGTCGGGGAACATTGACGCTTCAACAGTCGATACCGATACCGTGAGTCTCGCCCCGTCAGCCTCCTCCAAGGCGCGGAAAAGACGTTGGTTCGGGGGTTCGAAACCTGTAAGCGACAAAGCCAGTAGCTCTTCCTTTGCGCTACCAGCCTCCACCAATACATCTTCCGTGGACGCTGGAAAAATAACCTCTACCACCAGTTACAGCCCATCGGGAACCCCCGTCTCGAGACCGATTGACATTGCGCACTCTCGGAAGCCATCGAACTATTCCGGCAACGCAAGTCATGGCAGTATGGGCCGAGACAGCAGCGTTGCGGGGAGTGTCTCGCACAGTGACAGTGCCAGCATTCGAGATAAGGAAATTGTCCACGCTCAAGATCGTCTAGACCGCTGGGGTACTCGAGCTACAGGTGGTATTGAGCGAGCGGAGCGAGAACTGGGGCTGGGTGACGAGGTCAATATGGGGTTGAGTTAATCGTTCAGTCTCTTAGCCAGGGCAATCCGCGAAAGAGTCCGGGGAGTTTCATGGAGCAGTGTCAAGTGGCAGCCCTTTTTTCATCCAGTTTTCGGTTTCGACTCAGCAAATAGGGTTACTTTTCCGAGTGTATATTAACATTCAGAAGCATATATTATTTCTGGCATCATCCACGTTTCGAACAAATTCTGAGGATACTTCAGATTTTTTTCAAGAATGGTTCTCGGACAAGCATCCGGCAAAACGAGTATGGTCATTCACAATATATATATCGCCGATAGTTACGCAAGTGTCGTAGCCTTTTGAGGGTAATTTCGAATCATGCACGTACGTTTCACAGAAGTAAGCTCTGGCATCGTCGGCATCGCCCAGTGTATGACTCGAGTCACAGCCAACGATGCAACCTGACCTTCATTTCTCACAGCTTCAGTAATGCAGACTGCTAGCAGTTAGGCAATATGGGCCAATCGTGACCTTTCGACATCATCAGATGGACACTGTCAGTCACGTTAGGATTAAATCCCATTTCAGGTGTTCCAAAACGTCGAGCCAATGCAACTTTTCTCCCGTCCAGAGGATATTCAGTAGTTCCTTTGCGCGCTTAACATTCCCAATACCGAAATTAACTTCCAGTTGAGTCAATGATCGCATAATTAGTTCTCGCTCTATCGTCTCTTCGCACTCGCATCCTGTGATGAAGAGTGGAAAAGTAAGCGCGGAATACTCGCAGTGGTCGTCGAGTGGCGATGAACGAATAGTTCTGAGACAACGCTCTACTGCCCCCCGTTTTGATAATGATATGAAAGAAGTCCAAATCGAGGATGCTCTTTGCGTGAGCCCCCGCATCATCCTTTCTAGCGTGGAATGGAGATAAATGTATGCAGCGTTGCAGAAACATTCCGCTACCATGTGCAGACGGGTGAGGTTCTCTTCTGTTGTCCCCTTAGGTATAATGTACGATGGTAGAAATTTTGTCCAATTACGAAGCGACTCGTCGCTGTACAGTATCAGCATGCGTTCAAACGTTTTGTAAGGGGGCTAGCACTGACATTGTATGGATTTCCAAGCCTAGGGCAACTGGGTCAGCGCAAAGAAGAGGCAGATCCGCAATCCTTGCACACAGCTTGATAATTCTCTCAGTGTAGCCGATGTATATGTCGAGCCTGGTAATCTCTGCATGATTTAGGTCCGACAAGGCCGCGGTGATCAGCCTGGGGTTCGTCAATTTTGCCAAATTTTGCCCGTATAGAAAACTGAGTTGAAAGTTAGCTCGGTCCCTGCAATCTCGTGTCAAACTGCCATCATTACTTACAGTCCTCGCAGAAAATGAGCCGTGTCTTGGCTGAGGGAGTCGAATCCACCGCGAGATAGTATCAGTTTTCCTAATGCATGCAGATGCACCGTCCACTGCCTCACGCTTCCACGTACTATCTCAAACTTGCAAAGAAGAGCAACCGAGAGAAGAGCGTCCTCGGGAAATTTATCGGCGGAACGCTCAGTAAGTGCGGTCCGAACGCCTCTCATTGTTTGAATGTAGTAATCCGCTGCTGCAGTTTGGGCGCACACGCTATCACTTGTACGGTTCGCGAGATGTATGGCAGACAGCGCGCATAGAGCGTTCATTAGAAGGGGAGAGGAGTGGGCTCGAGGAATGAGCAATGATCGCAATGGATTTTCTTCGTTTTCCAAGTTCGCCAACAGTTTGGACCCTCGTTCCACATAATATTGGAGGTAAAGCGTCTCGAGGGCAGTCAAATGACTGGTGTATCCAAAAGGCTTGGTGATCACACCAGACCTGTCATTGTGAGTAGCAGTAACAGACTTTTCGGTATCGTTTCTGTTGTCAGCGATCCTCCAGCCAACTTCCAACCAGCAGGTTTCATCGGCATCGTACTTCGACATTGATGGACATGATGTATTCAGAGAGTTTGACGGAAACGAGGTCAAATTGGGAGATGGACGGTCTTGGGAGGATCCATCTGAGCCAACGGACGCAGAATGAGAGCGACTGATCTTGCGTCGCTTTGATAGTCCAACTTGTTGAAAGACTTGTGCGCCTGGATCGAGAGGCTTTGCCCACACCGAGCCATATCCTTCGCAGCTGAGCCCTAACCTGGCGCAATTCTGGCAGCTAGTTTTAGATATCAGTCACGCTAGTCACAAGTATTTGAGAAGATATTATTTGTTACCCAGGCTTAGCTTCATCACAGCGCTTTCGGCGCCTTTTGCAGGTCAGACAACCTGACCGAGTCCACTTCCCACCCTCCCTTTTGCATCTCTTTCTCGACGGTATTGAGCTTTCGCTTCTCAGCGAGAACTCGTTATACGTGGTAGTAAATTGAGTCATTTCAACCTGTACGAAAAAGGAACAAGGCCAACAGATAATACTGCGGCCTTGTATACTAAACCGATAAGCGATTATCACGCTTATCAGACCGAGGTGCGGAGTAAGAGGAGTAATGAATGGTCACGTCGACAGTTGAATCAACGGAATGATGGCTTACTGTGTCACCACATGGAAACATGGCAGACATGCTATTGAGCAAAAGATATATCGCACAGGAACAATGAGGGTCAATCTGCTGGTTGGAGAAGTAGTGGAGAAGGAGAAGAGGCAAATCGTGCGCTAGTCCTGATATGGCAAGAGATACGCTGTACTATCTAATCGGTATCATCAATATTTCATGTTCCCCTCATCAACCATCCTACGGATATCCTTCTACGGAGAAAGGTAGATGTCTATTTTCAAATTAGACCTATGGCCTCCAAAAGTGTTAGAGGTTATCTTTCTGCGAGGCTGAAAGCTCCCTTGATCATTGAGTAATAGCTCTGGGCCCGCTTGAATCGTTCGAATATGAATCCTCCATTTAGCATTAGTTGAATGAACAATGTATTTTTTCGGCAGGCCTTGTTATCCAAATATTGCTGACGGACATCTAAAACTATTTCTCATATGTCGATCTTGTCATGATCAATCTGAATCCGACTCTGGTCCTATACTTCTGTCTGTGATGTGCACTCTGCGCAACTACCTTAGTATCTACCGTTAATCGCTATCGGAGGCCCCACCGAAAAGTGGTAGGAGCTTATCCAGCTTATCCCAAAATGGCATGTCCATCCAGAACGTGGAGAAAGACTGGCACAAAGATCATATCCATTGATTTGCGGAGGGTAGATATAGGCAAACCGTTTCTTCACATAACTAATCCTACAACTGACAGGAAGAAGATAACAATTGGTGGAGGTCAGCTTCTGTGCACACTATAGGCACACTATATAAGCACCGTCTCGTCTCTCTTTTCTCTCTTTTCTCTCCAGTCCCTTCTTACACGCTCATCTCTGAACTCGAGGGGTTTCAGTAATACATACCACCAACTGCGTAGTATACGAACCTAAGTCTCCGCAATATGCTGGCATCTCAGAGCTCTCCTTCGACCACCTCGGTCAACCTCCATCCCTTCGATCCAATTACTCCAGAAGAGATCAAACTTGCCGTTCGCATACTCGAAGCTGCCTTTCCTGGTGTGCCTCTTCGCTATAAGCGAGTTGATCTGCAGGAGCCCGTCAAGAAAGATGTCATTGCATATATCGAGGCGGATAGATTACGGAAACCTTTGCCTCAGAAACCCCCTCGTCTTTTATTTTCCTACTTTCACCGTTTGGACAGTGGTGTCTTCCACAAGGCCCTGTTAAATGCTGACAGCAAGTCGGTAATCCATATCAAGGAGCTCCCCGCACATGTGCAAGTGAGTAGATCATTCCTCTTTCCCTTTCCAGAATCCGCCTGTTTTGATAGCTGATTGCTTCACTATATAGGGACCTATTGATGTAGACGAGGTGACTGAGATTGAGGCACTCTGCATGCGGCACCCTGCGGTACTGGCAGAAATCGAGAAACTCAAGCTGCCGCCAGGAATGGCAGTCTGCAATGATCCGTGGATGTATGGCTCGGACAGCCCCAATGAAACGAGACGGCTCTTCCAATGCTTTATGTACATGGTTGAAGTGGACCACCCAGAGAACAACCATTACTCTTTACCATGCAAGTTCTCTCCCGTCTTCGATGCTATCACCCGGGAGCTGGTCCGCATGGACTATCTTCCTGGCGGCGCAGACACAAAAGTAATGGAGACACAACCGTGGAGACCTGTTAAAACAATTCAATATGCTCATGATCTTCTGGACGAGCCACTGAGAAATGACCTTAAACCCTACATCGTCCAGCAACCTGAGGGGGCATCCTTCTCAGTTGACGGAAACTTTGTGTATTGGCAGAAATGGCGATTCAGAGTCGGCTTCAACAACCGGGAGGGACTGGTGCTCTACAATATCACATACGACAATCGCAACGTCTTCTACCGGCTTTCGGTCTCAGAGATGACGGTTCCCTACGGAGGTGAGCTGACCATGACACCAAGAGTAAGAGCACTTTACTGATCATCTGGATTGCATCAGATCCTCGGGCCCCTTATCACCGGAAACAGGCTTTTGATGTTGGAGATGTTGGTTTTGGTCTCAATGCTAACCAGTTGACGCTTGGATGCGATTGTCTGGGTCACATCAAATATTTTGATGGCTATCGAACGGATTCAAAAGGTAATCCCGTTCATTTGAAAAACATCATTTGCATGCATGAACAGGACAATGGTCTTCAACACAAACACACCAACTACCGATCGGGCGCTGCGACTGTGGTGCGAAACCGCCAGCTGGTCCTTCAAATGATTTGCACTGTTGCAAATTACGAGTACATCTTTGCATACATCTTTGACCAAGCTGCAAATGTTGAACTTGAGGTCCGAGCCACCGGTATCTTATCGACCGTTCCGTTTGACAATGAGAATGGCGAAACAGTCGCTTGGGGCACAAACATCGGTCCTGGAGTCATGGCTCCTTTCCATCAACACATGTTTTCTCTGCGGATTGATCCGGCCATAGATGGTTTCAGGAATACCGTCTACTATGAGGACAGCGTACCACTCCCTGAAGACGAGAAGAATCCTTACCTTGTTGGCTATACTACTGAGCAGACCGTCATCCGCAAGTCCGGCTCAGCCAACACTGACATTAACCGCCATCGAGTATTCAAGATCCGCAACGATAATGTCATCAACCCCGTGACCTATAAACCTGTGGCATACAAACTCCAAACGGCACCTAGCCAGATGCTCCTATTGAGCAAAAACGCAATGGGTTACCGACGGGCCGAGTTCGCCAGTAAACCCATCTGGGTCACCAAGTACAACGATGACGAGCTGTACGCCGCAGGCGAGTTCACCAACCAGAGTAGACGAGCGGAAGGCGTTGAGACCTGGGTACAAAGGAACGACTCGACAGAGAACGAAGATGTGGTTCTATGGCATAGTAAGTTTCCTCGAGCCCTATGGGTCTCACAGCCAGGACTGACCAGTTCGGCAGCGTTCGGTCTCACCCATAACCCCCGTGTCGAAGACTTCCCCGTCATGCCTATGGAGCGAATCAGCGTCATGCTCAAACCCGATGGTTTCTTCACGAAAAATCCGGCCCTGGATGTGCCCCCGTCAACTCAGTCATTCAACAAATCCACCCTCCATCCTGAGCCCGCTCCCATTGCAGCATGCTGCTCCAACGGGGGTGCCAGTACTAAGGCGAAGCTTTACAAGCGCATTGAATAGTTCCATCAATTATCGGGCTGGTTGTTTGATTCCTGGCACTCGGATTCGGTGTTTGAGATGGTTAGATGTAGCATTCTATTGGTGTTGACATTGTTGATTAGCGTCTGGTTCAGAAATCTCATACAAGTCATTTAGTTTGTCAAAGTGTTCAAAGAGCTATTTTGAGATCTTTTTACTAAGAGTAAAGGAGAGATGAGAAGCAAGGTCAAGAACTATCACGCATCATGACATCTATTTTTCATTACCATGTGTCTTCTGATATTAGACATACACAGCTCTCTCGCTCGTCCGAGACCGAAAGAGTTATATAGATCGGAACCATCGTACATCAGACAGTTGCCGTTGCGATCATACATTCCTGCCATACCTTCACCGAGACCACTCACTCCGACTCATGCTTCCCGCCGGTCCTGTATCACCTTTCGGAAAACCAGCTTCCTCCCTGGTCGCCTTCCTTCCTCCCATAACATATGCACGTGATATGATTTCACCATGTGACATTATGTTCCCCGATGCCAAAACCCACAGGGGACAATTCGTTATTTACTCCTTGTTAACGGTGGGGACATGGGCCTTGGGGAGAACGCCGTGGCCCACGTTGTCGATGGCGGCCTGGCGGGCGCCCTTGAGGCCGTACTGGGAGTCAATGCCCTCAATACGGTGGGCGGAGTTGATGTTCTTGACCATGGTGAGCTGCCAGCAGGTAGCGCTTCCCTGGCGGGAGATGATGGTCGAGTAGGCCAGGAAGTACTCCCAGATCTGAGGAACGGAAAGTCCTCCAGTCAGTCGTGCTCAACGTGTATAATGAATTCGTCAAAGGGACTTACTCTAAACCATCTCTTGCCGTACTTGGCCTCGACCTTCTCGCGGTTACCCATCCAGTTGCGGTACCAGCGCCAAAGAGTAGCAGAGTAGTGGACACCAACAGTGTCAACGCTCTTGATTTCAAAGCCAGCGCCCTCCAATTTATCGACGACGAATCCAAGAGGAGTGCTGGCATCGGCTCCGGGGAAGATGTACTTGTTCATAAACAGACCCCATATGAGATCCTCATACTGCCAGGACTTACGGAGACCCGCGATCTGGAGGAAGAACACACCATCATCATCAAGCATGTCGTAGACCTGAGACAGGAAGGAACCGAAGTGGCGGACACCGACGTGCTCTGCCATCTCAAGACAAGTGATCTTCTTGTAACCGCCCTCGACGCGGGGAGCATCACGGTAGTCCAAGCAGAGGATACGGCTTTGAGATTCGGGGATACCGGCGTTGCGGAGACCCTTGTTACCCCAGGCAGTTTGGTTACGACCGAGAGTGATACCGGTGACGTGTGCGCCATAGTGGACTGAAGCAAATTTGGCGAGAGTACCCCAGCCACAACCCAGGTCGAGAAGAGTGTCACCGGGCTTAACATTGATCTTCTCACAGACAACAGCTAGCTTGTTGTCCTGAAGTTCTTCCAAAGTCTCTTCCTTGTTAATATCACTAATGATGCCAGAGGTGTAGATCATCCGAGGGCCCAAGAACCAAGCGTAGAAGTCGTCACCACGGTCATAGTGGTCGCGCACCTGTTCCTCGTCTGCAGACCATTTTAGTCAGAAACCATGAACTTCATTCATCTGTGCAGAATAACCAAGGGAATGCCACTTTACCTTGAGAACGGGAGTGAACCAGCAATTCAGGAATGAAGCCGAAGAGGAAGTGCTTGTAGAGGCCCATGGTGAAGCGGAAGTTAGCCCAGTCGTGTCTGAACTCCAGAGCTTCAAGAGCGTCGACCTTGAAATCAACCTCTCCATTGAAGTACTTTTCGTAGAAGACCTCCATCGGAATCTTGCTCTTGCCGCGGTAGGTGGCACGGTCATGCTCGCTGTGGAAGTGAAGGTAGTGCTCGACGGGGCGACCAGCATACTTGGCCTTCTCATTCTTGCGGGGAGAAATGGAAGAAGCCACGGACCAGAAGGCCATCAGGATGGGGACGGTGGTAAAGATCGCAAAGAAGATAGTGGTGTAGAAACCACCACCGACCTGGCGGGCCAAGTACCACGGAACAAACAGCAGCAGAGAGAAAAGCAGGATGTTGGAGAAACTATCGCTGCCTGCAGCGTCTGCGGGGACGGGAGCATTTTTGATAGCCGGGTACTAAAAGCGTGAAAGAGAAAGTGATTAGCCCATTGCCTTCCATGAAGACGCTCCATAGAGCTCCAAAAGAGCTTCGATGAGCCCGGGCAAATTGTTGTCGGCTCAATTGAGCACCTCAACTTACCGATGTCGTCCGCACACCGCAATCGTCTGCGGGGGTAGTGCAAGAAGCAGGAGGTGTTTCAATGTACTCGAAGTCCTCAGGGGACTCGGGGTGAATTTTCGTCATGGCTGGCTCGACGATTTCGCGGAGAGATTGAGTGGGAGGAAGGAGACCAAGGCAGGTCAGTGTCACAAATCACGACAGATGTTCTGTCGTGATAAGAAAGGGAAAAAAAGATAAATGGAAAGGCGGGGAAAGGAAGAAGCCACAAGGGCAGGAAAGAAAGCAGATCAACAACAATTGATGTTGATGGAGAACAGGAGCAGTCGGGTTGGTTTATCGGTGATGAGGAATTGACGCGGCGCCAACAAGCCTAGTTGGTCTTTACTTAGGTTCCTACCTTAGCAAGTTCGCAGCAGTACTACTAGTACTAGTGGACCTGACGAGCTTGGCTCTCGAGTCCCTGCTCGAATTGATTCTTATTAATAGTACGTAGCTGTCTACCTCCCTAGCTGGTACGTATCAACAAATCCAAGTGGAACCACGCGCGGGATGGTTGTTTCTCCTGAATTGGCGGCGGTGAGCATACGTATACTCCGTACCAGAAGATAACTGAGTATTATTATAATCTCTAGCATGAAGAATCGGCTGCAGGGCAATAGATATTAGTATACTGTAGTCTACTGAGTCCCAGGAACTGAATGAAATTGAAAGTCAATTGCATTGTCATACGCGAGAAAAGCTGGCAATGATCATGCTGTCCGCCCCTCTGTCGTTCGTGGCATAAATTACTCAATAATACTGGGTAGCACGGTTGTGTAACCAGTCGATTTACTCCAGCAATCCGGAATGATCCCCAGGGCCGTAGACAGAGCCACTGTGTAAGATAATACTGAGCGTGATATATAGTGACAATACAAAGTCCCCTCTCCTGACATTGTTAGCAACCGTTGCAAAGCTCGATTCATGTGCCGTACTCCATGTATTATTATCAAGATCATATCCGAGGAGTCCTCGGATGCCGAGAACCCTGGATCGTCCGTCGCTCAATCCAACCAAGGTTGCAGCCAGACCCTGAAACGCGGCAATCTGCGTGAGTGCGTGTCCAATTCTCCCAGTCCCCTTGGCTAATAATATGATTATGCTTTCATAGGATTCATTTCCCAGTCCACTAGATTCCGGACCGATCACCTAGGCCACTTCGATACTGAATGCTTCACGACAAGTTGACCACATTCATACTTACGACGTCCTTCATCCAGCTAAGAGATTTGGAAACAGGTACTTGTTCTGCAAATATGAATGATCGAATTGCTACCTCCTACAGGTGGAAAACTATCCCTAAAAAAGAGCTAAATCATACAAGATACCGGCTGTGAATCGTGAAGCCTCGTAGTGTTATCGATACGCAAAAAGCAAAGGTCAAGAACGCCGCTTCCGTCCCAGTCGGTTTGCCCTACTATAATCTTGCCATTCATTCATGCACGCCGACCATCCCAATCCCTGAAAAGTGAAGACGAGTAGAAAAGTAAAAGACTTCCTTCGAATACTCCTGAACCATGACTCTAGGGTACGTTCGGCGTTGTCCAACCTCAAAGCGTGAGCTGGAAATTCTGCGCCTCTTCATCTTCCCCAAAGGTCGGGAGATTTCTTTCAGCTTCGGCCGCCAGTCGATCCTCCTCGCTATCAAAACAGCCTGCAGCCTTGCAGCGATACCACATCTCCGAACCCAGCGGAGGCATCCCGTACAATTCGATGTATGTTCCAGGCGACAGGACCGACCTCTCCGGAGTAGTTGACGGCTTTCCATGCAATCTGGAGGACACAGCCCGGCCCTTTGAATAGCCCAGGGTAGTCTTGGAGTTGGCAGTGGCCGCAGCGTGACGCATGGAGGACAGATTGCTCGGCACTCGGGGCCTCCTAGATGTCAAGAGAGATGATGCGACTCTGGGTTTCGGCTTTGACATCGCCGCTGGCCTCGCTCGTGCACCCGAGGGCTCAACCCTGGACAGTGCGGCAACTGCATCGCGAGCACGGACAGTAGAGATATTGCTGGTATACTTGGGCTTCGTCATAGCCGATTTAGCACGGCGCACCTCGAGGCGTCGTTTAGGTACCTCTTCCACATGAGGCTCGCTGGGAGGGTCCAATTCCGTCTTGTCCTCGAATCCAATCTCTTCAAGCTGCTTCAAGATCATTTCGTCCACCTTTTTGTCGAACGCAATTGAGTCCTCCTGGAATTTGCGCTGTCGTTTGGTAAGACCATCCTCTCCGACTTGATTGTCTCCGTACACACTTTCCAATCCCAAGGCCAAGTTCTTGGGTTGAAACTGAGGAAATGTCGTGTCATAAGTAATGTCGTCAGGGATATCCGGGAGCTCTACAAGAATGTTAGAGAAGCTAAAACTCTCCGACTCAAGGCCATTACGAGACCGATGTGCATCTCACCTTTCGGTTTGGGGGGCATATATTCAATATCGGGCACGTCATCCTGGCTCTCTTCACCCTGTACCTCAATCTTGGGCTGGTCAACTAGTGGCGAGAATTTCCTGATCTTCTGGGTAGAGGTTCTCTTGTTCGTCTTCTCTGGCTTGATAGTGCCTGCCGGCGCTGCTGGGGTCTGTAAGCCTCTCGCCTTTGCATTGGTCGTTTTCATGCCAAGAGGTGCACGATTGCGAGGTTCTATTGCCAGTGTTTCGTTAGCCTTCTCGATCCTCTCGCTGGGGTCTCTCTCCTGCATACCCAGCGGAGTGACAAAGGCATCCTTGGCGGGTTTTGTGTTCTCCTTTTGCTTGCCAGCAGCCTTTACTGTTTTCTTTCCAAACGCCAAAGGGTCATTTTCATCGTTCAAAGGCACCTTGAAGGGTGTTTTCGGTGCGCGGGCTCCCGGGGTTCGCGGTTGCGACTGCTTCACGCCATGGTTCAAGGGTTTAGCTGCAGCGACAGTCTGGTGAGTATGCACCAGGTTTTCCTGGTCACGAAGAGCCAGCATGGCAATGTATGGTTTTCAATGATACTCATTCAAGTCGGAATGGGCGTGTATGCGTCGTGGTGACCATAAGTCGCTAGCTAAGGTAGTCTAAGCTAAGGTAGTTCTAGATGCAGGACGCATCTAGTTGTTTTTTCTTGGCGGTTGCCCGTGGAGACGAGACTGGCTTTCCCTGGGACGAGCCGGAAGGAACCTTTGGGAAATGGCAGGTGGCCTGAGTGCCTCAGGCAGAAAGAGTTAACATGTGCCGCTTGGCCCACCAAGGCCCCCCTTGCGCCTCTGGCTGTCAAGCCACAGAACATCAATAATACATAGATAACAGGGGCTAGTCTATTTTTGTCTAGGTGTTTTGTTGGCTGACCGCCAAACGGGTAAGGGAGGCCCTCCACTTCTTAGGCCTTATTATTCCTCTCTTGTGATCTCCAATTCCCAAACCACATCCCTCCAACTCGTACCTCCTTGTTGTCCACTTTTCCACCTGGTTTCTCGCTGAGCGAAAGCCTTTCTGCCTTCAAACCCACTCTACTTTCTCTGATACATAGATTTTGTCGTTGCAAATAAGTTATTTCGTTGCCAAAATGGATAAGATCAAGGAGGTAAGCTTCTCCCCTGATCCCTTTCGGCGGGGTAGCTTGAAAGCTGTCGAGAAAACGGAAATGCACCACTTTCCGCCCTTGCTTCATGTACCCTATCTAGGGACAGATCTTCTTGAGTGGAGCATAGGACGAGCAAATACTATAGTTCTGAATAAATGATATTCTAGACGGAAGGGTTGAGACTGACACGGAGATGTTTCTTCTAGAGAATGAACGCCCTCCGCCTCGAGGCTGATGAGGCCCAGAACAAGGTGGAAGAGCTCAAGGCTAAAGTGAAGACCCTGGAGCAAGAGAATTTGGCAAAGGAACAGGAGATCACATCCCTCAACCACCGGAACCAGCTTTTGGAGGGTGAGGTCGAGAAGCTCGAGGCTGCGCTTAAGGAGGCCAAGGAGTCTGCCAACCAGAGTGCTCAGCACGACACTCAGAACGAGGCCCTTCAGAGACGGGTGCAGTTGCTGGAAGAAGAGGCCGAGGAAGCTGACCGGAATTTGCGGGAGACAAACGAGAAGTATGACTCTGCCTTATCCTGCCATATTCACCAAAGGTCGATTTTGCTGACTCTGGGATGCTAGACTTCGCCAAACCGACGTTAAGGCTGGCCATTACGAACGCAAGGTGCAGGCTCTGGAAGCCTCTCGTGATCAGTGGGAGAGCAAGTATGAGGAGATGGCTAAGAAGTATGCTGAGTTGCAGAAGGATCTCCACGACCTGGAGGTCTCTATCAGCAACGTGTAAAGTTAATCTCGCACATCGGCGTACACTCGGAAAGATATTGGATCCAGCCTTTGTTCCAACGGATATCAGATTTATTCGCAAATCACAGCCTTCTTGCTATTCTCTTTCTCGGCAGGAACCAATTTAATAGGTTCTCTTTCGCCATTGTCATCTCATGCTGGAGATCGGCTCGTCTTTGCAGCTTGGACCCTTTCCTGTCCTTTACATATATTCATTGTTTGAGGTACATAGAGCATATTTAATGGAAGTCACTGTGATATCTTAGCTTTGCTCGAAGCGTTCTTTAACGAGTTTAAGTCGGGAATCGCTATTCTCGTTCTCGCCGAGCCTTGGCCTTTCTCGATTTGGCTTGCCGCTGCTTCATAAGAGTAACTTTGCGCTCCTCCTTACTTTCGTATCGGAACTTCTTTTTCTTCTTTTTTGGCTTGTTGTTCTCCTTCGTTTTCTTCTCGGCTGAATTTGTGGTTGTGGATTTGACATCGGCTTCCGACCTTCGTTTCGTTTGCTCGTCCTCATCCTCGTCTGACTTGTCGCCCTCCTCCGCCCTGAGTAAGCCTTCTCTGGAGGCATCCATCTCTTCAACAGTAACGGTGGTATATTTGTCTTCATCGATATATTCGGCTTCGTAGTCCACTGCAGGAGGCTCAGCGAATCCTTCCCATTCATCCTGCTCGTCTACATCCCCATTGCTGGAACTTGTTTCTTCGTCACTGTCGCCATTTTCTTTCCTCAGCATTTCGAGCTGCCTCCGATGCTCTTCAAGTGCCCGCTCATATTCTGCAGCTCGCTCTTCACGGATCTGGTTGGAGTCAAGTCAGCATGCTTTCACTCATCATCCAGGCCGTGGAACCAATGAGTACAAACCTTCTTCCGTTCTAGCCTTTTCTCTTCTCGGGCTCTCTTTGCAGCAAGTTCCTGTGCATGCCGTATCCGCTGCTGTTTTCTCTTTCGAAATCCTGTGAGGAATTCCTGCCGATCGGCAGGGTCGAAATTGATCTCTTCGACTTTGGGCGTCAACTTGCGTTTTTTGGCTTGTGGGCCCATTTTCCCGGGGTTGTGTGATGGTCGGTCTTAAGAAAATCAATTAGAACGAAAGTAATAATCTGTATTCAATTTTGATCCATAAAAAAGGATAGGACTAAAAAGAAAAAGAAAAAGCTGCTGATATGGTTATTGCGGCCGATAAAACTAAACCTTGTCTAGTCGGTGGTTGGCTCGACCGCCTCTGAGCTCGTCGGCCAAGCCTCCAGGTTGGCTCTACTGAAGCAACATCATCCTCAGCCTGCATTCTGCTCGCTTGCAATCAGTCAAATCACCACAATGCGCTTAGGAAGACTTACGCTGCTTGCTCTTGGAGCAGCGAGTGCAAATGCATTCCGGGATACATCTCCGTTCTTCCTAGCTTCTACGTCCGAGTACGTTGTCCAGGAGCTACTTGAGCTTCGGAGTCGCGGGCCATACATACCTGCATCCAGCTAACAAGCTCCTTCTAGGATACTTGCTACTTCATCAAATATCAAGGCCGCCACCGGTGTATTGGAGGATCTTAGTTCACAACTGAGCACCTGTCCATCGGATTACTATGTTATTGCGTCTCAGCCTGGTGTACACAGCAGCGATTTCGCGACTCGCAAGTCCGCGCCCCGCCTGGGCGCAAAGCTGACCGGGAAGGACAAAGCAATTCGATCCAGTATGATTGTCAAGGAGGTTGCGGGTGTTTTGGAGGCAAATCAGATCCAGAGTATTATCGAAAAGGAATGCGGGGCACAGTCTACTTTGATCGATGCATCTGGTGAGTTCGAGAGGCTTATAAGCTTTAGAGGTCGAACCTGACAAGACTATATAGCGAGCTCTTATCCTTCCGAGTTCGGGGCGGAACCTCGCATCATATATGTGGACTTTCCTATGCTCTCGCTAGGAGCCGACCGAGCCCAGCAACTTTCAGACAACGGTTTGTGATCGAATGCATCCTATTTTGACATCGCATGTTCGTTCTGACGGATGACAAAGATGGCCTCCTTGCCGATATCATTGACCGAATCCCTTCTTCGAAGAAGTATACGCTTCTCTACGTGACATCGCCGAGGGAGTTTGAGGGATCCGAGGGTGTCGTTTATAAAGCCGAGGACAGTTACCAGGACCCTCTCCGCATGGAGCTGAAGCGGGACTACTCAGCCCACGAAAGTCAAAGTACTCCTGCATCTAACAAATCTCTTTTCCGAGAGTACCAATACCTTACCCCAGGTACGATCTCTGAAGGTTTTCTGCAACGTTCATATGTAATGACTGACCACTTCTAGGTCTCTTTATGGGATTCCTTGCAGCCTTTTTCTTCCTGATGATCTTATACGTTGGTATTCGAGCTCTTACGAGCCTTGAAGTTCCCTATGCGGCATTTGAAAAGGATACGTCTGCCAGCGTGCAGAAGAAACAGCAATGATCACTCGTTGGCATTATTGGATTATTACATTGCAGCGAACATATTACTGGCTATCATTGTCTCTTATACCATATTTGAACTGACCTCAGTAGCTGCGCAAGGTCCAACCGAGAGTTAACCCAGCATGCTGTATCAATGCAACTGGCCTTTATATCATGTATATTTGTCGTGTCAATTTCAATTGGAGTATCATCAAGATGGGTCACACCTGAATCCGGCTCTCACGAAGCATGGATTCATATGGCAAAAGGCTTCATGAATTTGAATAAGCGTAATAGAAGATAAGAGTAGGACAGTACTCTAATGCCTATATATAGAAATCACGTGGGTTACTCCGCCTCCACAGCCTCGACTTTGGCGCCTGAGGCAGAAGCCAGGCACGGGGTCAACAACCAGTCCAGCGAGGGCGCATCGATAATTTACGGCTGTAGTGAGACTAACCCAAAGCCCCATTTCCATCGAAGTTTCTGAACTGCATTTGTGCAGCTGTCCCTCGCTCTTCGTTGCCTTTCAATATTCCAGTGACTTCCCGGCCTTTTTCTCACTCAACGAGCGTTGTCGCAGAGTTGAATTGTTTGGCTCCAGAGCACTGGTACAGACTTGCACCCTAAGGCCTGCTGGAGAGAACTGCACCTCCTCTTGAGGGATTGATTACATTTGTCTATGATCGCGCGTGCGACGGACTTTATCAATGTGCTGAACGAGGTGATCCATTGGTCGGGATTCATACTCCTCGTCTGAAAGGAAACGTTCACATACTTGCGCTTGAGGACTGCTTAACCCCCTCCGACGATGAGATTCCTCAATGTGGGGCGTGCGAAGCCCCATCAGCGCTCCATTACATTGCTTCTGTTTCTCTTGATTGTCGTGTTGGCTCAACTGGCCTCTGCCCAGCAGGATCCCAATACCAACGCTGCTGCAACTACTGCGCAAACGACCGAGGGCACGAAGGCCACAGATCCAGCGACTACGGACGCGGGAAAGACCACCGATTCGAAATCGACGACCGATGCCACAACTACAGAAGCTTCGACGAGTAGTGGAACCTCAACCACGGATGCTTCTACAACTACCGATGCAGCGACAACGTCGACAGTCTCTACCACCGACTTAGCGGGCTCGACTGCAACGTCTGCAACCTCTACAGACGGTTTCCCTGTGGTGACCGTGCCACCGACAGCGGATGCGCCGTACATGCAAAAATCGAACACGCCCGAAGGGACAGTTTTCATTGCTGTAGGTGCAGCCCTAGGTTTCATTGGGCTGGCGGTGCTGGCATGGCGTGGGCTCGTCGCATGGTCGGTCAACCGATCCGTCCGCCGCGCCGCGTTGATGCACGCCTCGGAAAAGAAAGGACTCCTTCGGTCCAAGAGGAAGAGGTCATCAAGGCATTCCCGCGCTGTACCTGCGAGCATGTCACTCGAAAAGCTTCCCCCACACCACCGCAACAGCTACAATCCAAGAGCATCCAATATCCCCAGTACTGGTAGCGGTCTTTTCTTCTCTCCGACCGCAGGCGCCGGAATGCATACAAGCGGAAACAGAGGATCCAGCTACCTTCCGGCGGGCTACTATGCTGCAGGAAACGCTGCGCCCACGGGGAGTCAGAACATCCCATACTCAACGCCAGAAATGCGACCCCACTCGCAGGGCTATATTCGCACCAAATCTAATCCGAGCCCCCCTAGGTCGCCGGGTCTGTCGCCTAGCGGCCTACATGACGCTCACTACGATCCCCCCACCAGGCATTCGTATGTCGCAGGCTCCACCAGCTCGTTGAATCTTGCCTCTCCGACCCATGGAAGAACCCCCAGTGCGTTCCTGGAGGATCTTTTTGAAAGTCATGCCCCTCAATCGGACAACGGTCATAGATAATTCAGCCTTCAACGCGCGTTGAAACATGCATTGTGTTTCCTTATTTTCTTCCAATTTTCATCTTTTCCCATCTCGGGTTCACAGCTTTTGAGCCGTACATACGGGATCTCGTTTAACATATACTTAAGTTAATATTCATGTCTCTATACGAGTCACGCATGGCCATGCTCGTGGCATTCTATCTCCTGTTTGGTTCAAAGAGTTGACTGCAGATTGGCTGAGTCAAGACGGACAGGGCTGTGATTGATTATGTACATTTTTCTTTTTCCTTCTCAATGGTTGATACTAGCCTTCTGTTAATGATAAGCCTGATAATTGTCTATATGCTCGCTGTGTATTATTGCACACCAGGAAAAAGACACAGAAACGAGATTCAAAGACCGGGAAAGAGGACAATCAAACCGCGGAAAAGGACAACTCCAGAACGCTCAAATATATGATACAGACCAAAAGGCTTGCGACGTCAGTATTTAAAAGCAACGAAGCCGCCAAAAGCGGACATAATTCAAAACCAAGATGAAGCTTGGAGCGAAATGTTGGAACGACCGGGTAGGCAAAGGGCTCACGTAGATAAAGATTAAAGACGCGAGCGAAGCCTTGGAAAAACATACAAGAAGTCGGAAAGTATGCAAAGCGCGTATTGGTCTATCTTGGGGAAGTGTCATGTCATCGATAGGAGGTAACCGTGAAGACTGCGGAATTGTTTCAGTCGGAGTCCAGTTTGCGGTTGAACTCGCCGAGAAGGATGTCGCCCATGACTGGATCACGACTGTTTCTGACTGCAGATTCCGAATTAGCATCGAGCGACCACAGAATTAGAGATGATGACTTACTCATTTCTGCTTCTGCTCGGAAAAAGACCCACATCCATCTTCTGGCGACTTCCAAGGCCATGAGCAGGAAGATGCCACACTCCTTCTCGCTAAGCCAGACAAAGCCCGGTAAGAACCGAGTGACCCAAGAAAATCGAATGAGTAGGTCAGCAAGAACTGCGGCATAGTAGAGCCGATCAGCGAAGAATCGATGGCGGCGCAGGCCATAAGGACAGTCCGGATCGGCGCGAGAAGAAGTGAAGAGAGTCAAATCCCAATCCTTGCTTATGTCCCAGTAAAAGGAGTACGTAGAGTTGATGAAAGTGAAGAAGGTGCTGAAATACAACAATTGTTAGTTGCGATCTCTGCCGCTCTAAGCATAGAGAGTTGGGTTATACATACAGCAGCCGGGAAACGCTCATTTCGCTGAACTCATAGAACTCCAAAGGATTGTAATTCCTAAGCTTGGCGGCAAGAATAATAACGGGGAATGCAGTGGCATATTTCAAAGCGTTTGCCAGGTGCTGTGTTCCTTTATTTTCCCCTATTTGACCCGCCCGGTGCACACGAAGATATTCAGTTAGACACTGCCGCAGTCGGATCATGCTGGGGAGTGCGATGATGATGGGGACCACATAATCGTTTCCACAACTGCGATTCGGTTTCGAGGTGCTCGAAATATCCGGAGTGAAGAACATGCAGAATGTAACATAGAGGTCCCCCAAGATTTTGGCGTAGCTGGTAAGAGCATCTGCCAGCAGTATGTCTCCAAATTTACCATCTTGAGGCTGCGCCAATCCTCCCACACTAATGCGCCGCAAAGACCTAAGAAACCGACTTCGTCCAGACCGTGACAAACGGTTGACGGGCAGAACGAGTAGAATGAAGAATATAAATAGATACGATTGCGGAATGAAGTCTAATGACTCCACTCGCTCAGCAGAGCCGTGGGTAAACACCCAGAAGATAAGGAGGGAGAACAGAAGAGGGGCCGTCAAAAGGGTTGCGAGCCGGTAAGTAGAAGTATGGTGAGGAGGTTGTTGAGGAGTTTGACGGGCGGGATAACGGATGAGGGCCGGTAGATCCTAGAGAGAGTAAGCATATGATTCCGTACGAGATTCTTCGTATTTGAGGGAATGGAGGGGACAACTCACAATATTCGCCCGAGAGAGATATTGAAGGTTAGCACCCCAACCCCAGAATCCTAAGCCACGGATATTAATATTACATATGATAATTGACCGATTGGAGAGTTAAATACGCACCAGCAACCAGTATTACTGCCACCCGATAGGGGAAAGGGAGGAAAAGACTGAAGCCGTCAAGTTGAGCATGTTGATCAGGACCCATATTCCATCGAAAAAGCGGCGCTACGAATCAGCACCTAAATAGGAGTTACAACAAGACGAGGGTGAGAAGAATAAGCCGGATGTGATGGAGAGGAGTTGTTTCCAATCGAACAAGAAGAGAATCAAGCGCTAGAATTGAAGCAAAAGAGTGACTAGGGGTGAGAAATTACTGCCAAAGATTAATCGTCATGGGCTGGACTAGACCTTCTATGTAAATTGATTGATGCAGAAGCTCAGGGACAGACGACGGCTTCGGCGGCTCCGCGCGGCTTCTAGTTTCGGAAGCGCCAGTCCTTTGTAGGCTTAGTGTGATTTCTGCAGTGTCGTGAAATCCAAAATGGAATCTTCTGCCCCACGTGAGCTGGAGATAACGTGATTAGAGTCACGTGGGAATTACCGAGGCATTTCGTACTCATCGCCGAGTTGCGGTCTTACAAGGGAGCTCTCCGCTACGGGGAAGAGATGAAGCACAATTTCCAGGAAATATCACGATGTTACTTGCCTGATTGATTCCTTAACCGTGATTATCTCGTTTCTTTGCCCCTTCTCTACCACTTTCAAGATTCAAGTATGGCAGACGAAGATCTCAAACTCTCCTTACCTACTCCCACATCTCCGCCGAGTCTGAGCTCCTCCGCCCATTTCTACCCCTTCGCAACGTCACCGGATATTATCCGCTCCAATGAAAAGGACGTTTTCCTAACTTCCAGTCTGGTCAACCAGGCACAAGCGATTATCCGTTCTCTCCGTGGCGCACGCTTTGCTCATATCCACTCGGACGCCATCAAACACCTAACCGAAATTCTATACTTCTCACTGACGACGTTAATTGGCAATCGGACTCTGGGAGAGGAGTATTGCGATCTCGTGCAACTGGAAGATGATACACTTCAGCTCCCCGCGATTCACCGAAGAGCGGGTTACATCCTGAGTAGCATCCTAGTACCGTGGGCGCTTCAGCGGATTCTCCCCGGGTTTCGCCAGCGACTACGCGCGAAATTGGAGCGTAGCATCGCCCGGCAACAACTGAAAGCGCAGCAGAAAGCAGAAGAATTAAGATTTACCAAGAAAAATGCTTCGAAGAAGCAGTCTTTCTTCACCGCACTTCGAGTCCAGAAGTACATTCTCGAGCATCTTGACTCGATCACCTCGCTTTCACCTATTTACGCCCTAAGTATAGCAACCTTTTATTTCACTGGCTCCTATTACCATTTGTCGAAACGCTTCTGGGGACTGCGCTACGTGTTCACGAAGAAACTCGAGGAGAATGAACAGAGAGTAGGGTATGAGGTCTTGGGAGTTTTGCTTGTCCTTCAGATCGCGGTACAAGGCATTCTGCATATTCGAAAACTCGGTCTTAGTATGCAACAAGAGGGAGAGGGTATTGAGACCGAAGTGGCTGGTTCCAAGACACACGATGACTCCTTGATCCGCTCCATTCAGAACCCTTACAACCTTCCGCTTCTTCCTGCTTCTGCAGCTCGATATGATCTTGCAGAAGATTCGAATGTCATTCCGTGGATTCCTTCCGGGCAACAGAGCAAGTGCACGCTTTGTCTGGAATTGTACAAAGATCCCAGTGTCACAACATGTGGACATGTCTTCTGTTGGACGTGTATTCGCGATTGGGTACGCGAGAAGCCCGAGTGTCCACTCTGTCGACAAGAGGTAATACCATCTAAGGTCCTGCCGCTGAGGGGGTGAATTAATGTACATTCATTATGAGCATATCAATGTTCGGTGCAGGGTGTCAATTCGCCCGCATCTCATCAAGCCTCGATATTATGGCTTCTTGGCAAGTTGACGGGTTGACCAGCTTGTGACATATACCCACTGCTAGTTTTTTGTATGATAATCTCAACATTTTGATTCAAAACGAAATCAATGACACTTGCAAAGTCTCGCTCATTTGCGTATACATAGCTTGCTTGACTTGGTAAAAGATGTCCGGAAACTGGCAACGCAGTTTCTATAATGCAATGACGCTGAACGCTACGCAAGGGTATTTTTCCAACACAAATCATATCAACAAACTACCTGAAATAATCTCGGACTCCAGGTTCCAGAATTTCACATGGTGCGTGCGGAGGGTGCTGTTTTAGAAGCATCGTCCTCGGTCTCAAGACACACTGCCGGCTTGATGACCTGAGGTTCAACCGGCTTGTTGTTGGTTGTTCCAACATCAAGCTCTTCTACTAGGCGGATCGGCTGATCCAGCTCAGCATGTGCTGGTAAAGGGGGCATCGGAGTCAAGGCCCTGCGCTTGGCGTCCATAGTATTGAAAAGACACAGACATGCATACGAGTCGTTTGCAGCATCTATAGAGAGAGCCATTAATACACTCGAAACAAAATGGGGTCCATGGTAAACTCACACTGAACTTGACGGTAGTTTAGTGCAGTGCTCCAATCGCCGCATCGGACGTCATCATCCTTTGCTAGAGGTAGACCGAAGTGCTCTTCGACCTGCTCGCTTAGATTGACAGGTCTTCTGTTGATGAGCGCTGGATCTGACTGGCAGTACTTGACCAACTTGTACAGGTGACTGAGTTCGAAAATCCCACGAACATTGATACCGAGAAAGTTCTTTAGTCGCGTACAGTCCGCCTTAATCGCTACTCCAGCCTTCGTAATTTTTGGTGATTCAAGAATTTTTCGTAGAGAAGGAGAAATAAAGTCCTCTGGTGTTCTCGCGGGTTTGAACAGCGCAATTTGGAAGAGGGCAATTCGCTCCGCATTTGCAATCTGTATCAACGAGACGTTGTTCTGAATGCTGGCAGATCTGCTTGACTGCGGTTTCCATTCCATGTCAAAGCCTATTACATCATCATTCAAGAAGTATTTTGCTACTTCCTCGGTCTTTTTAAGGGACTTGCAATAGTGCACGATGATGTCTTTCCCACTCGGGGCCTTGCGCAGCCTGTGGCTCCAGAACTTGGGGCCCGGAGGAATGGTTAAAGCAAGAGACTGTTGCGCAACCAGAAACTTCTCGCATACTGCTGTCTCGGTCCTTGTTTCATTCCCAGACCTGATGCTCCGTGAGACAACTGCACTGCTGTACGACTGGCATTGGCCGGTATGACCAGAACTACCATCGTGGTGGGAAGGACTAGCTATTGATTGCGTTATCAGGGTCTTGCTAAACGAGCGTTTTGAGTGTTTGGCGCAGAAGTTCATTCTTAGCCTTCCCGGGCCAGATTCGTCAGGCCGTGTGGAAGGAAATCTTTGATCGCCTCCCGCAGTTTCCCTGGAGAGCGTCGAAAATGCATGTGCTCGCATGTAGCTTTGCTTTCCATGCCAAAGCGCAGTCAACCAATGCGAGAACTTCAAGTCGTTCTGCAATCCATTGTACTTCTTGGCAACAGCCCTCGAAGTGGGGGCTGGACGCGTTTGCCGTGACTGCTGGGCCAAGTCGAGACAGATACTAGGAAGGCCGAGGTGCCTTTTTAGGCTTAAGAGCCAAGTGCCTGTTTTGGAATTCTGAGATGCAGCCCAGCATGTGGATATACATCTTTGAAATTTGACGTCTGGTGTCCCGAGGCTTCTTGGGAAGCACGTTCCACACAGGCGTGTGGGGGGTATCATGCTGCGCTCTTATCTGCTGGTAATGTACCTGAAGCTAGGACTAGTTAGACCATGGTAGTCCACACGCTTAGTATGCACCGCGCGAATGTACACCAGTCAGCAAAGCCGTGACCCGAGCTCTCGACGCGATACTCGAAGTGGTCCGACTTTCTTCACTCGAGGAGACGAGCGATGTAACATGACCCTTGTGAGCGATTTACACAGTATCGTGCATAGGCTGGCTAATCCTCAGGAAATATCCCAACAGGGGTCGCTGTAGTAATTAATCAGATAGTCGATCTTCTCATGCCTATGTATTCATTGGCAGGTTTGTATAGATGTATCAGATCGGAGATACTGAGGATGAGCGGAGAAGGATCGGCGATAGATGTGATTGGGCTGGAATTCGGAACGGATAAACCTACTCCCTTGCCCTCCAAGATCGTCTGGTGGAACGCTCAAAGCTCCGCTTGAGGCTTCATTTTCTATACGACGCATAACACTTGATACTAAATACTCTCTTTATTATTAAAGGTGGTCTCTCAAGTGTAAGGGCGCAGCTGTGAGGAGAGTGTGCTAGATTCTGAGCATAGAAGACTTCGAGCACAATGGCTTCCCAACTCCTTCCTCTGGGTAATCTTCATAACCACGTGTATACATAGACCTGTGTGATTAACAATCTGACAGAATTGATCGATAAGTGTGTGGGATCGAGAATTTGGGTTATCATGAAGGGTGACAAAGGTACGTGACTACCGTGGCTGCGACGACTATGTACTGACAAAGTAAAGAATTCTCCGGCACATTACTTGGATTCGACGACTACGTCAGTAAGTTATCTCGAGATCTGTGAGGGTCCTAATAGATACTGATTTGTTGCAGATATGGTTCTGGAAGATGTGACTGAATTGTAGGTGATGCTTTCATTCTTGTCATGCTGGTCATACGCCCGTCAGCTATTCCAGGATGCCTCCTATTTTGTTTCTGCGCTTCAAGGATGGTGTAAGCATTAACATATTGTAGCGATTACTCTGGCGCGCAGGTCAAGCTGCCTAAGATCCTGCTAAACGGGAACAATATCTGCATGGTATGGGCGCTGAAGTCCCTCTCACGCCATCGATCGCACAATTCTGACGTTGTCTTTTAGTTAATCCCTGGCGGCGAGGGACCAGTTGGCAGCTCCTGATTTTTTGATTTCCAGTTTTCTTTTCGATCAGTATGATGAACATGGCTTGCAAACGACTGTCACAATGGTATCGCATAGAACTTGACCTGAATAGCAAAAGTGTTCCCTTTGCTCAGTTGCAGTCTCCTGTCCCACTGCATTCTCACTTGGTTCATCCCAATGCGACCTCGCAAAAGCATGTTCGCCGAGTTGAGAAGCAACACTGATACCGCTGAAGAGCATGAGAACCGGCCTGGGTACAGTCCATGGTTGCAAGACTCTGCGAGAATCGTGAGTAGAAAAGGATATAGTCTCAATGGATGGCACAGAAGCAGTACAATCGACGTGTGACGAGATGGAAGAGAGACGGACACTCCCATACGGACGTTATTGACTTGGCATTCTCGGCAAGATGCGAGGGGAACAGCTGTGAGTGCAGCGGGAAGCTTTACAAGCATGAACTCTGAAAAACAGAAACTCAATCTCTGGTCTTCAAGCTCTTTGATCAGGAGTCTGGACAGTGGCAGGGGTATGGCTGAAGCCTATGACTATCATGACATCCAATTGAGCTATTTTCGTTAGTCACTCCAAGAATGACCCTGGGGGAAACCGTGACCGTCTGAAGCCGTTGATCAACCCCTTCAACGAGCGGAGACTGGCCCGCACGATTGACATCGTTGAGAATGGGGAACACTAGTCGCTAAGACGCGGAAAACCTGGGGTAAATCTTCCCCGTATTCTTCTTGACGTAAACCATGATTTGTAGAGTATGGGGTAAAAGGTACGGACTTGATGGCTCCAAGGCCAGTCCGACGAATAGCATGTCCTCGAATACCCGTCGTGTCGTCAGTACGGAGTGGATCGCTCGCGGATATTTTGGGGAGACTCCATCCGCTGCTTCGGTCGCTCGCCGTCGGTTGGCAGCGGAATCTTTATTGGACTCCATGCAAACAGGCTGGTTGGACGAGATCATTGTTGGAGTGATTTCCACTCATTCCACTCATTCCAGCCGGTGAGTCTTGCTGTGCTCGGTTCTCTGCCCCAGATTCTTCCCCAGATCACGGTGTGGAATCTATTACATAACAGGTTCCGCTATTCCCCGCGTTTGCACAGCGAGACGGGGGCGAAGCGGCAACATCAACGCATGTCCGGAGAATCAAAGAGCGGTTTATGAGACAACTCCCACCGCGTCTATTATTCGTACTCCAATCATTGATCCGGAGCAGTTAAGGGGAGGAAAGAGAAGGGGACGGAAGCCAGCAATACCCTATCATATGACACTGAAGCCCATATCATTGGAGACAGGGATATATCATTGCGCGATTTTGTTCGGTTGAACTTGTTTTCGGCGGGAGACTGATGCCCGTTGCCGGTCGACTCCCGGTCGCGCGTCCAATCCCAAACCGTTGCGTTTCAACTACGATCTCTACTCATCTTGTAGACACAGTGTGTCACTCGATTCGGTAATAGAAATTCAATGTTATGTCAATAGAGCATATCACTATTAGGTTGGCCCGTGCAGAAAACCACGACTTTTGTGTAACATTTTTCTTTGGCTTTTTCGATGCCACGAGGATCCTGTGTTCCTTTTAAGGCTAATGTACTTACGGTGAGAGCCATATGACATATTAATCTCGTCACGTGAACGAAGTTTCTCATCTTATCCTGTGAAAAGCAAGACGCGAGGAGTCCAAAACACCCTGCTGATGGCGCGGGAAAACTGGACTTCTGGAAATTTGGGGCGTGGAACTAACTTTGTTCTTCTGGAATCCAGAAGCGCCCCAAAGGCTAATGGCTACGCCATCTGCGCGCGATGTTACCGTAGCCGGTTCATCAACCATCTTCGTCAGCAGGAGTCAGCCACTAAGGCTTGGTAATTCCTTCAGTCCTACAGAGTACAGTGAATTTGATTGCCACACAAAGAAGGATTTTTAATTACTATTATGGTCCTGGCAGACAAGGAAAGTTCTTTGAAGAAATTTTGAACCAAAGTAAGGCACCGCAGACCATCGAATCGAAAGGTAAGAAATGAACTTCATCTAGCGTATGATTTCGAGGAGTGCTGAGTAGCCAAAGCACTCGGGAAGACTTGGCTGAGGGAGGAAAAAGTAGCCGCCTGCTTGTGTTGTACTCTGGGCCTCGGTCACTACTCACCAGCATATGCGTGATCAATCGCACAGACAGTAATGAGGTCAAATGCCAAGTTAGTGGCCGAGGAAAATAAATTATCCTAGCATTTATCTATCGGTACCTATTCGTGAGTGGTAAGGTGTTGACAGGGCAATAGTGACCTGGGCTGCATAAGAAAGATTTGGGCAACAGCCTGAAATGCAAGATGGCCGACGGATTCCGAAGCGATCGCATCTCACTTTGTAGGTACCGGTTGATACTGAAAGTATCACTATTCCCGCAATTCAGGCGTTCCTGGACTTTCGATCGTACCTGAATTGACGCCTCGAAGCCCTCGCCTTCAGAATTTTGAGGAAGGTGACTGAATATCAGAACACATTGATTATGTGCCAGATCGGGCACAGAGCTCAAGCGCCGATGAGGACGATGGCATCCGCGCCTGCCACTTCAAGGATTACTGCGCTTCCGTGCAACTGGAGATCCCCTAACACGGTTGAGACAGACGACTAGGAAGCTCTTCAGATGTAGCGTTGTGGCTCTAAGTAAGTTTGGTAACAGCCAGCCAGGTACATGGTCGGGGATATGGTTTTCGGGAAGCACTGTCAAGTTATCAGCCTTCTTCCCTCGACCTTCCAGAAGCAAAGTAGCGACATCACCTGAGTACGATAGAAGACATCAAAACACAAACAATCCCTTATCTGCGTGGTGTTTTGGTCGCGCGCTCTTGTGCATATTAGGATCATGAGCTTACTGTAGGTTTCAGATGTACTCCGTAAGGAATAATGCCTAGGCAAGTGTTATCTATGGGGCTGCCAGTGGAATTTTTGATTGGTTACAGGATGGCATCGCGTGGAAGAAGTGGTGCGGAGACTAATTCCTAATGAGGAGTAGCGGGTTTCATCCTCTCAAAGCGACGACGGCTTGTCCGGTGAGCCCCACCCCTCCTTTTCTGCTCCAGCCTCCAAGAGGCCAAGGAATCCATGCCTTATCGCCCTCATTAACCATGGACTCATGGTTCACAAATCACAAGCGATGTCGCCACCATCCCGGCGAATGGCACAGCAAGGTAGAGAATGGAAGACAGTCTATTGTGTTGGCAATCGACCATTCGCCCCGAAGTCATTCGCCATGTAGAGCCCTGTATAAGCGAAGAAGTACTAAGGTAGTATTCTCTTATCCTTGGCGGTCTGCGGTTTCCTTGGTAGAAGAATGTTCATCTCTGCAAACGGAATATCTACTCAGTCGTCCAGATTAGGGGTTACAACAGTCCATTACCAATGCCGTGATAAGAGTCCTTGTCACAGAACTGTTAGATAGCAGAGGGCTCCGGGCTATCAATGGTTATGCATAGATAAGTAGTATGGAGTCTCTGGAGCAACTTAGCAAGTCGGTGGTTTCGACTCCACAAATGGATGGATCCTCACCTATCTGGAGAGGCATCACGAGCAGCTCAACTGCTCGAGTCTCAGGTTGTTCGCGGTCGCGGCTCGCAGGATATATGATACCAAGAAACTTGCCCAACCTCAACTCCAAGACTGCAGGCCATTGGCCAGTGCCCCATAGACTCTCTAACCTGAAGCGGTAGTGCGGTACAGCCACTAACTCCATGTGGAACCTCTGTTGAATCAAGCGACTATGTAGGATTCTAGATACATGGAAGCTGAACCCAGCCTGCTACCTGGGCAGAGGACGTTGTATTGCATTGGCATCCTCTTGTATTTAATTTGTTATCTTTCTTGTGTGCATGGAATCATGCAATCATGCTGTTCTCTTCCTTTTTTATGTCCCTTTCTCCCTACTTCCCTGGTATACCAAATTGAAATGGCGTTGGTCTACTCTGGATATCATACAGAAGGGTGGAATGATAACAGATGGTTTCTGGTTAGTTCCATGGGTTATTCTAAGATTCTAACCAAGACGACAGGATATTTTTAAAAGAAATCTGTATTATTATCATGATTATTTTTATTAACTGACTAGCTTGATGCAAGACGCGGCTGGTCTAGTTCTGAGTTGAAATGGCTCGTGGTCTGTCATTATTCCCGCAGTCAGTTCAGTCAGTTCAGTGAGTTCCCTGAGCAATAATAATAATTTCCAACTTGTCCAGGGATGGATGGCAAAAATCGAGGGTCATCGTAAATAATAATAATAATAATCAAAATCATAAATAATAAACTACTAAAGCAAAGTCTAATTGGATCTAGTCTACCCCGGGCCCGGCCAATTCCACCGTTTTAACTTCCCCCGTCCTAGGGAACAGCACGCCAAAGCGTAAGCTGTCGGCCAGTAAGCCCAACCACAGATATCCTGACTCTTGGTATCTATCTCTCTGTGTGGCGCCTGGTGAGGGGACCTTTCCTTTGCTGCGAAAGTGTTCTTCGTATCTTGACACTAAAGAGGCAAAAATGATTATTGTCTTTCAGACTAGTCAACCTAACCTAGTGAGAATGTGATCGTCCCATAGACAGTCCTCTTTTCCAATTATTTATACCAACCCATCTGCCTCTCCCTCGTCATTCACTCAGACTAATAGTCTGTCTGCATTGAACGCGAGACAGTACACTCCTAGTCTCCATCTTGTATCAATCTAGTCACCTCACTTTCTTTTCACTTATCCTACCCCTTCCATGTCACATTTATCTTCGCTTTAATTAACGACTGCACAATCATGGAGAAAGATTCTATTGAACCTAAGGCGGAGCCTATGGTGTCCGACCCTCCCCCAATCTATGGTGAAACAGAGACTACCAAAGGAAGCATGAGTCAGCGGATATGGGACAGCTTCAAGAGGGACCCTAACGCGCATGTTACGGCGCACACCTCTGGATCGAATGGCGGGACCTTTGACCTCGAACAGGCTGCGCAGAAGACCGCAAACTCTCCTCTGCAAC